AATTTTAATTAAGTTTCTATTAGAGGAACATGTCGACATCATCCACTTGTTTTACTTCCTGTAAATCAAAGGAGTCGATCGTTTGGTTTGTGGCATATACTTTTGATTCGAGTCAGATTAGCATGACGCAGGTGACACTAACAACAGAACAGGTCAATAAAAAAAACTGAGGTGGAATTATCAATTGGTTTACACAAAAATAAATGAGTATTTTCCTTTTTAAACATGATACTTCAATCTGTGTATTCTAACTGTATCTGCTGTACAAAAACTACTTTTTTTCCCAACACTATTTACTTCAAGTTGTAGTGATTTGGTAACTGAATGTCAAATTTGGTTGTGAAGATTTACTGTCATCAAAAAGTGCCTCTCTTAAGTCTGGCATAATTTTATCCCTGAATCCCATTATTTCTGATTAGAAAAAGCAAACTTTTTATCACAAGCTTTAAATATTTTAGTCAAAGTTTTCCTTACTTATTTTGTACATTTAGCTCATATTAAAAGTATGAGGACTCTCGAGTGTTGGGATTTAACAAATGTTACTTTAGTGATGCAATAAATCTCTGTATCAGAAGAATGATGTAGTTTATGTTACACTGAAACAACTTCATATTCAACAACACACTGTCTTTTCAGGATAATCACACAAATGAAATGAAACATCTTTAAACATCCCTCCGTCCACCCCTCACCCCTTCACAGGGTCACACGTGGTTAAACGTAAACATAAGATTAGTTGGGGGTTTTTTAACCATAATTTCTCTTTTACTCCTCCATGTTAAATCACAGTGGCAGTGGGCAGAAAGGAGCTGACGGCTCCTCATTCTTTAATGTCCTCTTATGTAATACTTACTCTACATGGAAGACACTTTTCACAGTCTCTCTGTGGTCTTGACGTCCACATCGGCCATGTGTTGTGAAAATTTAATGTGTGTTAATAATTGACGAGCCATTGAAAGATTTACGCAGACTGCAGCATGTGCACGTGACAAAAACGGTGTGTAACGCTGCAAAAATGTCTGTTTGAAAGTCAAATTTAACTTCATTTATTTTAATATTACAGAGACACACTGACATGTAGACCAGTGGAGCCCGGAATTAAACACACGACCTTCAGACCCACATGCGGAGAGAACGACTGACTGACCATTTTCAATTAGACGTCCCTGACATTTAAACTCCCTCCCATAGAACAACAGGGGTCTGGGTGGTCTCAACAAGGACTCTATACGTGTGTGTGTGTGTGTGTGTGTCAGCTGCAGCAAAATACAATGAAATAGACTGACAATGTGTCCAAGGCCAGTATATGTGTGTACATTCACTTCACTCACTATACTGTGACAGTGAACCATCTGTCAGTCAACTGAATTAAATCTTTAAGACTAATGTGCACACACGCACACGTAGGCTCACACTCCTCCTGGCGAATCACATTGCTGCTGCAGCATTACCTTCTTCCAGTCAGATACTGTACATGAGATGCACGTGACTCCCCATAAACTCATGGCCGCCAGCAATGAATTAATTACACACTGCACCACAATAAGACAACACCACAGTTAAAGACATTTTCTCTTCTTTCATTTGACAATCTATTAAATAAAGGAGCGTTGATGTGTTTTTTCCATAATATTCAAAAATACTCAACTAGAGAAGACCGAAAGGTTCACAAAGATTAGTTAATATAATCAGTGCTCGAGACTAAATGAACAAATTCAATGGATATATTTAAGTGTTTAAGTAATCATAATCAGTGACACACAGCTGTTTTGTAAATTCACTGTCACGTCGACTCACTCCTCTTTAGTTCATCCTCACAATTCTTCTGAGAACATCAAGTCCTGGTATAAATGTCCAGTCCAGTGCTAAACCACAGTGACCACAGCCACTGAAAACAGCATCATCTCTGTGAGACACACGTCCTGGGAAGAGGGTGCAGCAAGACAAAGTACGAAACAACTCTTGAAGACGAGACACCACCTTCTTCAAATGATGCTCCAGAGCGCAGAGCAGAAGCTGAAAGGTCGAGGATGGAAGAAGAAGGGAGGAGAGAGAAAAAAAGGATGGAAGAAGAAGGGAGGAGAGAGAGGAAAACTAATAAGAAAGTGGAGGAAGAAGATGAGAAAAAAGCTCAGGAAAAGAAGGAAAAAGACAAAGGAATAGGTACGAATAGGCAAAGAGACAGGAGGGGGAGGAGGAGAGATGTGTCGTCATGGTGATTGACTCCATTTTAGAAACCCACCATTTTACATCTTGTGCTCTAGGCGGTTGTGGAGGTTATGGAATCAGGAGTCAAAAGAGTGATGTAGTCATCGTGAGGTAGACAGAAGTGTCAGCCGTTGGCTGGAGAACACTGAATAAGAGTCAGAGAAGGAAAGACCTAAGAGCTGATTGGATAATTATTTAGGGTGCAGTTCAGTGGAGTTGGACCCCGATTTATTTTCAAAGAAATCGGAAAAAATGCTGTATCAACAAAAAATAACATTTCTGTCATAACATCTGAACTTAGAAACTTTCATATTTTAATGGGAATTATTCCAGCCTAAATTTCTCAGCTGTTCCATACAAAACACAACCCAGTTCTCTTTGTCCTCCGCCTTCATATTTCCTCTGGTCATCTGTCACTCCTATAGTGTCTTGATGCTCCCCCGTGAGATTAGACTGCATTAGACTGTCACAACACATCAGCCACAACCACTCTGATCTGAGGCTCACAAAATTCACCATGTATGTGTGCGTAGTGGTAAAAACTATTACATGCCTACGCCCATGCTTGTGCAGGGTGACAGAGGTTGTTAGTGTGTGTTGAATATTCTGCACGTCTGCAGCAAAGACAAACTCCTGCGAAATGAAATCAATGGACATGGACATGGCCGAGCAGCAGGACCAAACAAAGATGTATGTAAAAAAAAATATATATATATATATATATAAACATAAGCGACGACCAATAGAGCCACCTGCTGGAGGGGAGGCAGAACTCTATGAACAATTAACCAAATAAAATAAAATAGTAATAATTTATGTCGCCACCTGGCGTCCATTCCATGTGATCAAGCTGAAGAGTAAACGCCAAACCATTTCTCGCCTAAGGCAACAAAACGGCCAGACTTTGCACTGCATGCAAACGGACCAATAATGCAAGAACTAACTTAAACCTCCAAACAGTTAGTACCACAGCTCCCTCTGGTGTTCAGACAGCACCATTGCGCAGGACAAGGACGTCGTAATTCTTAATAACTACGATGAAAAGTCAGCTGAACATACAGCATGATCGTCAAAAAGTCTACACAAACCACAAATATACACAAGTGAGATTATAAATCGAATAGAGCCTTAATTAAAAAACACTTAAAAATGTGTTAAAACACTTCAAGAAAACGTTTTGAATGTTTCAAACTCATTTGTAAAATGTATTGATTGTATTTATTGTTGAGAGGTTTTGGGATCTTTGATTTTCTTTTAAACCAGAGGTGCTTATATGGACATATATTAACTGTTTTAAGTGATGTCACTATTAGGGCTAATAAGAATAATGTGAACATTAAGTGGCTTTGTAGTTTGTTTGTTTTTTTAAACAAAAACCAGACACAGACAGATATTCAGTAAAAATGCATCTTTGGATTTTGAGTTGCAGCGATAAAATAAATTCCTGACAAGATAAACATACAGATAACTGAAAGTTTTACTTGACATTTTTCCTCATCACTCAGTTTTTGCTTCAGTCTTATTCTTCTTCTTTTTCCCCCTCTTCCTCTTCTTCTTCTTACCTGCAGTACTGTCAGTCGGGCCACGAGCCACCAGGTCTGCTTCAGGTTCCTGTTTGTCCTCAGTCTCTGAATCTTCAGGTGTCTCATTACAAACCCTGGGGACATCGTTGTCCTCTGGGACAATGTGACTGAACACAAGAGAAAAACAGTCTTCATTCAGTTTCTTTATATTGTTAAAAAATAGGACCTTTGGATTGTTGTTTTGATTCCATTAAAATTTATTTTATTTATTTTTAATATTTATGACCTATTCGAGGAAAGGACAAACAACAGTAGGAGTGATGTGGCACTTTTCATATCTGTATGCAAAAAGAAAGCTGAAGCTAATCAAAAAAGCAGGTGGTGCTGTTTTCACACAACAATTATTTAAGAGACTGTTTATGGTCTTTCATTACAGAGGTGAGATCCAGAGCTACTGACTGTCTAGTTCTTATTAGTTCAGACTTGTGTCCAGGGTTTTTCAATAGGTCTTTTAATAATAAAAAAAGATCAGAAATACAATACGTTGTACAGTTAACCTCTTGAAAGCGTCAGGGTTATACTGTATATACACAAATAAAATTAACTAGGCCCGAGAAATACATGACTCCATAGAGTACTAATAACAAGAGTTCAATGACAAACCTCATTTGGACGACTTGTTCCTGTTTCATAGTCACAGACTTCTTGTGTTTCTCCAGAAGAGCCACAAAAAAGCCATGTGTGCGGGTCTTCGTGGTGCTGGCTCTCAGACACTGGGTGAGTGGCTCCAGGCCTCGTTCAGGCCACTGTGGCAGAAGATGAACCAACCTGGAGAGAAAAAACAACAACAACAACCACCACCACATTATAACTAAAGATTGAACTACAGTCCCTTTTAATCAATAACAATATAAGTTATTAAAAAGTAGGAAGGAATACTGAAGAGAAGGAGAAAGGCAGGAAAACCAGGCTGATATAACACATGCATCAAAATGACCAACATTGTGTTGTTCTACAGACAGACAGAGAAACTCCATCTCTGCAGAGCAGCCTATTTGTTCATGGTAGTGTACAGAGATGACCACCACATACTGTATATGTACAAGCAGAAACGTTGATGTTGTAGTTCGGTGCAGTTGAACTGCTTCTACCTAAAGTTGAGGTTCTGCTGCAGACAGGCAGTTACCACATCTTCGTTCTCCTGGCTGTGGATGGAGCAGGTGGAGTAGACCAGACGCTTCAGGCGAGGGAACCTGAGAGCGTGGTTGAGACAACGCAGCTGGAAGGAGGCCAAAGAGACCAGACGAGCCTGATCCTCCGACTGGTCATGAGAGGTGTTGTCCCGCAGACACACCATCCCTGCAATCAACAGTTGACAGTAAATGAGTGAATACCAGTAGCTGAACTACTGATGGAATAATGAGGACAGTGGAGACAAGTTAGAACTGAACTGAACAAAACATCAAATTCACAAATAACTGTCTAACTGTACCTGATCCACTGCAGGACGGGTCCAGCAGGATATATTCCACATCTTTATACTGCGCATTGCCAGGGTCCACCTTCAGGAAGTCCTGGTTAGCAAGCTGATGACATAGGACCCCAGCTCTGAGCAGCAGAGTGGACATGGTGGACAACCGCTTGGCGTCTAAATCAAAGGCAAAGAGTTTCCCCTTGTTCTCCATTATGGCTGCAAGGTGGCTGGTTTTGTTGCCAGGTGCAGCACAAGCATCAATGACATGGCTGCCAGGAGGAGGACTGAGGAGGTGGGCTGGTAGACAGCTGGCCTTGTCCTGCAGAATGATGTGGCCCGCTTTGTACAGGAAGTGGTCATGGAAGTCCATTTTAGGGGAGAAGACCAGCAGCTCTGGGAGATACAGATCCTTCACAAAGTCCTTCTCCCTCAGGGTTAGATCCTCCAGCCTGGAGGCCTGTCCCTGGTAGCAGAAACCGTCCCTTTTCAAGTAGTCAACAGCATCATTCACACTGGTCTTCAGGGTGTTCACACGCACATACCTGGGAAGGCGGTCTCTAGCAGATTGCTGGACACTGACTGGGAGCAGGTCTTCATTCCTGTGGACCTTTTGTTTCACCTTCATGCGGGCCAGAGCAGCTTGTAGTCTGGAACGATGTTTCATTAACATGACCTTCCAGGTTCCGCCACACTTCAGTCCCTGACCTATGAGCATGTCATAGACCAGAACTTTAGCCAGAGGCATCTTTAGCTTCGTCTGCTTTAGCAGTTTGGTGGACTCGATGATTTCCTCAAGGACGGAGGAAAACTTCTGTGTCTCACAAACCAAAGCGAAGAGCTGTTTGATTTTTGCAAACTTACTGTCGTAAACCAGAGTTTTTAACGCACCCTGCTTCTTCTCGGATTTCTCCAGGATCTCTGCAGCTTTCGTGTACAGAGCCATGGCCCAAACAAACAAACAGACAAACCGAGAGCTCGAACACAGGCCAAACGTCGATTCCGTTAAAATTACACGGGTTTTTATCACTGACAGTGGGTTTCAATCCTGCATCTCGTCCTATTTTTTCTTTCCAGGGAACCACGACGAAACGCTGGAGTTTTACAATAGTTTACTCAATCTTTACGGACTTTTCCCGTAGCGCACATGGTTACAGTCGCCACCACCGGAAGAATCGCCGGCGCTCAATAGTGACGTAACTACGTCTAGTCAATCAAGAGCCAATCGTCAAGCGTTTAAATTTCACATTTTTTAATGAAAAAATTCAATACAATAGTACATACTATAAGAGTACACAATATAATTTACTACTACAAATATAAAAGGGTAGCGTAAAAACTATTAAACTACCAATTATTTTACCATAAACTACAGCATTACTCTTAATTATACTTCTTTTTAGGTGATGCAGATACATAATACAACCAGACTATAAAATAAAGTCTAAAGTATTCTTCAATACAAAATCATCCACTTTTTTATTGTCTCAGTTTTAATCTTAGTTCTTAAAGGTTAGCCGGTTGATATAAAATGTGTGAAAGATGTGAACAAATTATTTACTTTTAACAGAATGAGCCATTAGGAAACTAACGTCAAGGCTCTTTGGTGAAACTCTTTATATGCAATATAATAAAGATATATAGTGACATATATGGCTGCAGTTGTAGTTATTGGAATTTTGGTTATATTCCTATTCCTGCAAAAGAGCAAACGTGAATATTACAATATATTATTTGGAACTAAACAAAAAGACAGTCATGGAATACATAATTTCTATAAAGAAATAGAGAAATTGCAATAACCTGAGGAGAGTTAACACTGGCTAAGTCTAAGAGGCCACCATTAACAACAATGTAGTGAAAAGACTGTTAAAGTACTACACAAATACCTCACAGCTACTGTTAAATGTTTATTGGCTCTTGTTAATTGATTCATTTCTAGTGACCGTTCTCTGCTTTTTGACACTCTTGGTCTTAAAGGTGTTTTTGTACAGGAGCAGCCTCTCCATAGTGTGAGGTGATAAATGGTTTCTCCTGGCTTTTATGATACATGCTGCCATTGGAAACAGTCTACCAAAGCCCCCTGCTGTGGCTGGTATTGCCAGCAACTTCTTGGCAATGTTCTGTAGAAGGGGGAAACGAGTAGCTGATTTCCAGTACAGCAGAGTGACACTTTTCTCCAACAGCGGTTCTTGCAGGTAAACATCAAACTCTGACATCTTCTTCACTTTTGTGGGTGGTTGGAGAAAATTAAATATGGACTTGCGTTTGAGGGCATTTCCACCACCTTCATCCTCACTGTTCTCATCCATACTGGCATCTGAGGCCTCTGGTAAGTCCTCAGTGGGACTCTCATCATTCTGCTCTATTTTTGGTCGATGCTCTGCCTGCGATTGTTTTGGTTCCACGAGGGCAGTCATGCTTTCCAGTGTGGCTTCCAAGATCTCATGGACTTCATTCTTTGTTGGAGGAGTTAAGAACAAAGTCTGGTCTTCATGTTTGGTATCAGAAAAAGGCTGAAAAACAAAAGCAGGGTTTTAAAACTTGGTGCAGTAAACAGTACTACTGTCTTGCATTTTTTTTCCATTTAGAGTTTTATTGAGACTATGCTGCAACTGCAACATTTTAAGCACATAACAAAAGCTTCTGTGCTATTTCATTACCTTTAATTTAATCCGGGGATCAAGCACAGTGGCTAATATTATGTCCTTCTGGAATATTAGAGACTGGAAGTGTGTGTGCAGGCCTGTGCGCAGAGCCTGTCTAAAGTGGGTGTAATTTGTGACACAGCTCTCCAGTGTCTTATCGAGGCCAATAAGGGAGGGTATGATCAAACAGACCATCACACCACTTCCTTGAAGGACCTACGTCAAAACATAAAAAAACATTGTTTTTACATATATAATTCTGTAGATATTACACAACTCTCTAGAGATTTGAGTTTTTCTATTTCCATTCAAGTATTTCACCTGTAAGGCTTCCTCAAAGGGCTGGAGCAGAGTCAGGATGTCAATAACTTGCTCCCTCTTCGCCATGATCAGAGGCGGGACACTGGCTATGTCAGTGGCCTCTACACGAGCCCGGGCAAGGACGGTCATTACTGCAGTCCATGCTGCCTCCTGGACCATACTCCGTAATGACAGCATCACAGTGTTCCAGCGACAGTTAGTGGAAGGAGGACACAGTGACACATTAAACTCTGTCAGCAACACCTAAAAAATAAAATAAGATAAGATAAACAAAGGAAAACCAAATGCATCAGCCAACACCAAAATACAGGCAAAAAGAAGTCTTTAAAACTTTGCACTGAATTACTTTTAGGGAAAACATGGACATTTTATATAAATATATATATATACATATATCTATATAGTAAAAATAATCCACTCACAATTCCAGCTCTGACAGTTTTATGGAAATTATTAATTAGCTCGGAAATTACAAGACAAATATATAACATGTTGACAACCAAATAAACTATTCTATTTAAAAAAATAATGAAAATTTAGAGCTCACATTCTAACTGTAATCATACTATCCTGCTTTTAGAAAGGGACTTGTAGTTTACAAAATGATGTGACTCTTGACCTATTTGTCCATTGTGTTTGTCCTTACTTCACTCCAGTAGACGTTGCTTCGAAAGAAAGCTATGACATTGTGGACCTGTGAGAGCAGGTTCTCTATGACCCTGGAGTTCTTCAGTGCCTCCATGATCACCTGCTGCAGTCTTCTGGCCACACATGTGGTTTTGGTCCCAAACTCCAGCTGTGAAAAGGGTGACACCGTTTCTGGCATCCGGTCCGACAAAAAAGTCACCATCTCCTCTCCGTCTGTCTCGCCTTTCGTGGGTGAGCACATGATCTTGTAGTCACCAAACAGCTTGTTTGCAGCCAGGGCCTCCTTGGCCCGACTGGTGAGGATGTAGCCAATGCTGTGAGGGAAAACACCGTAGCTGAGGATCACACCCTCCAGTTCACTGGCCACAGCACTGCAGAGGTCTTTGCAGCTGAGATGCCGAAAAGCTACTATTGGACGCCTGATCTGCCAATTTTCAGTAATAAAGTGAAGCTGCACCACGATGACTGGCTCTTCCACTGGTTTGGTTTTGTCTCCAAACCAAAGGTCAAAGGTGACGTGAATTTTTTCGTCGCCATCTTTGTTGGTGGCTTTAAGGTCTCGAATGAGCTGAGGCTTGAATGTTCTCTCGACGTCATGGTAGAGCTGCAGGCCCATGGCACGCTGGCTGAGCCTGTTATATTCAGGGTTTATGGTGTTCATGAAGGACCGGAAGCCTTTGCCTTCAACAAAACTGTAGGAGGAAAAGACACAAGCTGTCTAACACTGTGAAACGTAATAGAGTCATGCGAATGAAGTTTAGAGTACAACCACACATGTTTAAAACTCAAACCTAACACTGAGTCACCTGAGTGGCAGCATCTCTTCAGCGATCATTCTTAACGCTGCATCTTGAAATTTCTTCTGTTTTGCGTTTACTGCTGGTGCAGCTGCTGAATTGATACTGGGGCTAGGATTAGAACTGGGATGAGGACTGAGTGACAAGGAGGGAGTTTGAGAAAGCTCTCTTAGTGGGACACTCTGTGGAGGTGGAACTACCATTTTCTGTTCAACTTTCTGACAGTCCTGTTTCTTCTCCGGGTCCAGCCTCGTCTGCAGCTAAACAGCAAACACATGATAGAAACAAGGAATCTCTATTAAGAACTTCAGAAAAGAAATTAAAGGCTGAGACCCAAAAAACACGTACCTCATGTTTGACAGGTTCAGAGTCTAATACAACATCGCACTGAAAGTCCACCTGAAACAACACATGGCAATTATTTTGATTTTCAAATAACATTAATGGACATTTTAACAATATTACAATGATACAATATATGAAGTCTGACTAAAAAACCAGTCAGACTTGAGGATTTACCAGCTACCTCCCACAAAGGAGCAAAATAAAACTGTAGCAATATTTCTATAAAAAGATCAAATAATGCCGAGCATGCTCAACTCAGTTCACTGTTGTACCTCTTCTTTCACAAACTGATGAAAATCAAGAGATATGACATCAGCTTCCTTTTTGAATGAGGCCAAGTCTGCTTTATCTTTGAGGTAGCAGTACCAACGATTCTTTACAGAGGCTTCAGTTCTTCAAGAGGAATATAACACAGTATTTTAAAATCTCATTGACAATCCTATAGGAAAGTGTTTTTAAAGTAAATCAGACAATGCAGCCCACCTTCCAGGAAGCAGTCTGGATATGTCAGACCACCTGTTTCCAAGAACAGACTGAGCTTTAACAATGATCAGGTCTTCTTCGTTGGTCCACATACTGCAGCCAATATTTGGGTCAAGATAAGTTTGCCAGCGCTCAAAACAGTGTTTCCAATACCGCCCATTCAAATGCTGGGAAATCAAAGCCCACTGTTTGGTGCCGTATTTGGCCACCAGCTCTTTTATCTGTACAGAAAATAAATGGATTAAATGATACAACGTTAGTGGAACTGTTTTTCCAGTAGGTTTATTATATATTCGGGAATTTGTCCACCTTTTCATCTTCCTCTTTGGTCCAATTATTATTCTCTAAATCAGGATTCAGGTGGTTTTTCCAGTGTAGCATGCACTGAACATCTGTCCTTCCCTGTCACAGCAAGAAATAGGTAAATACATTTTGAAGAACTTGAAAACTATGATGTAAATGTATAAAAAATCTGGTTTTATTTTTGATTAATTTCTTCAATACTTGTAGGACATACTCACAGGAAAAAAACTGGCAATGGCTTTCCAGTCTTTTTGTCCCAGATTTTGGATCAGTATTTTCAAATTTTCATCCTAAAGAAAAAATAACATTGAGTTAGTCATACCATCCAATTGTTCAAAATATTCAGACTCTCATGAATATTTTGAAGTGTGCACATTTTTATTAGCATTAGCGTAATATAATCATTAAAAGAAACCAGATGACATAAAACATCACCTCCTCTGGAGTCCAGTCAACCGGACACAGTTTGTCTGCTGTGTCTGTTTTGTTCAATTGAGGCTGAGAACCCGCACTGTAACGACATTTATCCCCCAAAAATCAAATGTATTAAAACATATTATTGGCTTCCGTGTCAACATTTACAATGCATTTAGTTCAGATACACCATAAGGGAAAACTGTAATAGTCTGTGTGAGTTTCGCAACAACTGTCGCGGGATTGTAAAAAAAAAACGCAAATAAGATCTACAGCCTCGTGTGGCGCAGACAAGCCAAAACAAACAAATAAACAAACGATGTACTACGAGTAAAATTATTGTTAACAAATCCATGGCATCGACGTTCAGAATTTCCTATTTGGCGATGAAACACAGAATTAACCTCAAAGACATTTGGACTCAATGAAAACAGACTTTTTTGGACATTTGAAATGTATTGGTCACTGCATATACACTGAATGGCCACTTTCCATGTACATAGAATAGCAAAGAGTGGAGTTTATCGTTTCCCACAACGCTTTGTTTGCAGCAGTAGCGCTTGTTATAGTTCACTTTTTACAGCTGAAGGAAACTGCCCCAACAATATTTTCCTCCTCTTCCTAGTAGATAACACATACACTCCCACCGTGTGTTTCTCACACTTACCCGCGCCGCATGCTCCTGTATCCTGCCTCACAGACGGTGTCTCCACACAAAACTTCACTTTGTCATGAGTGTATAATTCAACAAAGCACGCTCCACAGCGAGGCGTGTGAGCTAAGAATGAGCTAATGTAGTCATGTCGCCGCGTGACTGTCGATTTACCCGGGATACTTTTAAAAAAACGAACTATGTTTACAAAAAAAAACGACCAGCAGGCAGCGTTGCCGCTCTGTCACTACCCGGAAACTGTTCACAAGAAAAACGTCCAACGCTTAATGGCGGCCAACTGCGGCGTTCGAAAGTTAAAAAAAAAAAAAAATATATATATATATATATATGAAGACATGATCATATATATATTTTTGGACTAAGTATTAAAAATAAGACACGTAAATATGTCGCTATTTTCTAAAGATTTAAAATAAAATAGTTATATTTTTAATATTTTAAAATTCAATAACTAATTAATTTCACTGTATGTGGTAGCGTAACATGTATTTAACAAATGCGAGGTGAATGTGTGATATCATAAACAACAACTAATATATGAGAGAACGTCCCAACTCTAAGTAATAAGTGTGAAAATGAATTGTTGGGTGTTTCAAACTGTTCCACACCCAGAAACTGGCTATTTAAAATTAAAGATACAGCAGGTAGCATTTAGCAACATCTAGTGGTGAGTAACATATTATATAATTTATTAATTTTACCTATCATTCTTCAAGCAAGTAGGAGAAAGCAAGCAAAAGAGCCATACGATTCACTCGGGTGTTTCGTTCATCTTGACAAAACCAAAACTGCAGCAGTGTGCAGGGCCGCACGTAAGAGTTGATTCGATGTAGTGATGGGAAGACCGACTTTTTTTACTGATTCGGATCTTTGACTCTCGAACAGTAAAAATGAAAGACTCGTGAACGAATCATTTTCATTTCATTCGTTTTACAGCAGGTTTAGCCCTATTGTGGGTGTTGTAAAGAAGGCTGCGGTTCTCCGACACTAAATACTGAAGGAAACGTGGTTTGCTTCCGCTGACAAAGTCTACGAAGTAACCAAAATGCCATAAGCAATTAAAACCATGTGAAAACCTAAGAAATAAAAACACACCACAATGTGAAGATGAATGAGAGCAAAAGAGACCCGAGCTCTCTGTCACGTGACAAATGAAACGAATCTGCGAGAACAAAGCGAAAGATTAGTTCACAGAGAATGATTCGTTCACTGCAAAAGATTAGTTCACTACGAAAGATTAGTCCACAGAGTAATTCGTTTGTAGTGAAAGATAAGTTCACAGTGAAACTATTTAAAAAGCTGCGTAAAATAACCTTTATATTATTTTTCTCTATGGTTTTGGTTCAACCCTCACCATTTTATTCATGTGTGTTTGTTGTTGTTAGACAGAAGGCAGATTAACAATGAAATCAAAGCAAATTCATTGTTTTCATGTTAAACTGTGTGAAAACATTAAATACCACAGTTCTTACTCCTCCTTTTGTGCTTAAAACACCAGAGAGCAGAGAAAATACACAAAAACAAACAAAATTGTGTAACCATTACCACCCAGTTTTGTTTTGATTTACTGTATTTTACACCCAGGGTTGTATTTTCATTTTAATTTGTGTTTTTATTTTATTGACATGACAAGGAGACATAGATAATGTGGAAAATAACAGGAAGAATAAAAAAAAACCTTTTTAAACCTGCGTAGAAAGAACGACTGTGAGAACAAATCAGAGATTAGTTCAGTCAAAGATTAGTTCACAGTCAAAGATTAGTTCGCAGAGAGTGATTCGTCCGTAAAGATTAGTTCGCAAAGATTAGTTCGCAGAGAGTGATTCGTCCGTAGTGAAAGATTAGTTCACAGTCAAAGATTAGTTCACAGAGAGTGATTCGTCCGTAGTGAAAGATTAGTTCTATAGTTCTATTCATATTCGTTCTATGTTCTAATGTGAATGAATCTGAGAGAACGAATCTGTGCAGCCCGATCAGTCTATCACAAATGAAAAATCCTGGAAGAGGACAAGTGAATGTAAAACTCATTTTGACAATTAGTGAGACTATTAAAAGTAACAATTAATAAGTTCCATAAAATGTTTACATGGTGCATTTTTATGTCCAAAATGTGACATTATTACTATTATTATTGGTGTTGTTGTTGTAATTTTTATTAATATATGGCACAGTATGACACAATCAATATGTCGATATAATTTTTTTAAGTATTTATTCACAAACACACTTAACTATATATGCATAACACTGCACACATCTAAGGGATGCAAATAAAGTTAAATAAGAATAAAGTCAAATAAGAATAATGTTAAGTAAACCAAACCAGCAAGAACAGTTACAGTAACAAGTACATTTAGGGCCTGCTCTAAGGCAAGTTGGCATTCAAAAACACAAGCTCACGGACCTTAGAGGGGCTGAGATGGTTCCGTCTGTCTGTGATGTTCTGCCCAGTCTTTGAGAAAATTCTCTCAGAGGGCACAGATGTGGCTACAATACACAGTCTGGTCTTCATCACCTCACACAGAGTTTTATATACGGGTGAGCACATCCTCCACCACGCCAAAGGATCCGATCCGCGGGACAGAAGTGGTTCTGCCAGGTAGGCCCGCATCTCCATCATGGCAGCAGTTGAGCTGCTTGATGTGGAAGCATCTGTTGAACTGGAAGGCCTGGTGTTTATTACCGTCTTATCAAAGTCTTCCCAAACCATGGCCCCAGTACTGGCAGCTGCAGCAGGATCTTGACCCTCCACCTCCTCAGTGTGACTGGGGTGAATGTGTGCTGCAGCAGCTGTGATCCTCTTCACCGCATCATCTGCTGCCATGTTGTTAACAAAGGCTTGCTTTTTGAACCTTGGGTCCAAACAAGTAGCATCACCAAGCTTCTCAATCTGCTCCACCTTGCTAAACCTATTCTGACATCAGGCTGTCCACCAGTTTTTGAACAGGTTCATGGACTGATGGGTTTCTTTGATGGCGAGCAACAATCCTCTGAAGACCCCTTGCCATCAGGATCACTTTGGAGGCTGTCACAAACCTAAAGAAGAAGTTAAATTATTCAAATGGTGTTCTCAAAAGCAGTTATAACAATGTACTTTTACAAATCAACGTCATGCTTCTTTGTTAACAATAAGGATACAGTTAAGAATACATCACTAACTAGAATTTTTGTTTAAAATATAAAGTTTGTGCTTATTATGTGCATGTACATTTAGAGCAAAGTCAGATAGGAGTCAAATTAATTTATGTGTACACTGATGTGCCTAATTAAAGTTTTTCTAATTTAATATAAACTTTAATCACTTTATCTACATACCTCTCAGTGCTCACTTCAACGGTGACCTCCTCAAAAGGTTTGAGAATGTCCACTGTTTCCTGGACAATTTCACATTCCTCTGTGGACAGTGCGGATACTGGTGCATTGATAAGTACCAGGGTGAAGATGGCTGGATCCTTAACCTCAATGAACCTTTTCAACATGTAGTATGTTGAATTCCAACTTGTAGCCACATCCTGCCTCAAACATAGTTGCTCCTGGCCCATCTGTTGCTGTATGGCCTTCAGTTTGTCTGAAGCAACTGTGCTTCTCTGGAAGTATTCCACCACAGCTTTTATTTTTTGCAATATGTCCTGAATCTCTTTAAGTGCAGCTCTAACAATGAGGTTTAACACATGAGCAAAGCACGGTATGTGGTCCCAGTGCAGTTGGTCTCCCACGGCTGCCACAATGTTTCTGGCATTGTCTGTGACACAAGCTACAACTTTGTCACTGACACCCCACTCATTTGCCACTCTCTTCAGCTCACTTAACAGGTGAGCTGAAGTGTGTCTGTCTGTCAAGACAAAACAGTCCAGGAGATGGGAGGTCATCACAAAATCCTGTACATAGTGGCATGTCACCGACATGTAGCTTGTGGACGTCACAGATGTCCAGCAGTCCGTTGTGAGGCATACAGCAGAGGCGTTCTTGATTTTTACAAATACCTCAGCTCTTAGCTTTTCATACATATTAGGCAGTAGAGCTTGAGATAATGTTTTCCAGCTAGGCAGAGTGTATGAAGGGTCCACGGTTTTTAAAAATTCTCTGAAGCCTTTGTCCTCGACTATGGAAAATGGTTGATAGTCATAAGCAATAATTTTAACCAGTGCTTCATCCAGTTTGTTCTGCCTGAGAGGATCCATTGGCCTTGTAAGGTAATTCCCCATCCAGTTTGCTCTGCCTGAGAGGATCCTTTGGCTTTCTATGGCAATTGCCCATCAGTGTTTGTTGTGGCCTCCATGGCCTAACTGGTGTTTGGGTGGTGATGGTGCTGGTGGGTGCTGCTGGTGCAGAAGCTGGTGCCAGTGTTGCAACAGCAGTGATTTGAGGTCCAGATGAAGTTCTGCTGGAGAAATATGGAGCTGCTGCAGTGGCTTCATTGTCACTCTCCACCTTCACTTGTGCTAAAGTTGGATGCCCTGTTTTAAGATGTCTTCTCATATTTGAAATGCTTCCTCCTTGTATTGATAAAATTCTTTTGCAAATATTGCATTCGACTCTATTGGCTGAAAAATAACTAAAGTGGTACCAAACGTCACTCCTTTTCCTTCCACTCATTTTTCTGACCTTCTCAGACCTTTGATGTTTGTGTTCTGATTTAACCTGGCACCTAATGTAAATGTGTGGGGGTCGGTGGGGGATGGGTCACTGCCCCAACGGAGCCTTGGATAACAGTAGCCCTCAATTTGTGGCACAGGATCACTTAACTCCTAGTAGCCAGTAAAAACTTAACGAAATCGGGAAGGCTTCTCCGCAGGTATATCACAGATATATACATATAAACATTACTCTGCTCTAATGGTCACTTAATCAAACACCAAAACAACAACAACAACAGCACTACAACAACAATTAATCAAACACCAAAACAACAACAACAGCAGCACTACAACAACATCAGCAAGAGTGGAAGGTAGTGTGTTGTGGTGCGGTGAGAGGATGTGTTAGTGCGTGTGTGAGTTCAGTCTGATGATGGCTTGGGGAAAGAAGATGTCTCTCAGCCTGTTGGTCCGGGTTCTTCCGCCTGCCTGATGGCAACAATTCAAAGAGATTGTGTGCGGGGTGGGATACGTACAGAGTAATCCGCTTCGCCTTGCTGAGGCATCGAGAAGTGTAGATGTCCTTCGGGGAGGGTAGGGAACCGCCAATAATCCTCTGGGCCGTCTTCACCACTGCTGTAGCCTCCTCCGTTCTGCTTAAGTACAGAGAGTGAACCACACCGAGAAGCAATATGCGAGTATGCTCCCAATGGAGGAGCGGTAGAAGTTCACCAGCAGCTTCCGACTGATATTGTCGATCCTGGGGAGGAGGGGACCCACTCTACGTAGATTCCGTTGATGTGGAGGGGTGGGTCTGCTCTGTTCTTCCTGAAGTCCAGGATGATCTCCTTGGTCTTTGTTGCATTCAGGGCCAGGTTGTTGACCGAACACCACGTCGACAGGGCCAGGACCTCCTCCCTGTACTCAGTCTCCTCCCCCTGAGATAAGCCCCACCGCTGTTGTGTCGTTCGAAAACTTCACAATGGTGTTGTTGGGGTGGGCGGGGCTGCAGTCCGATGACTATAGATGAGACTATAAATAAATACTGTATATATATACATAAATATAATTAATGTAAATATATATATATTATTATTATATAAATATAATATATGATTGTGACTATAAAATGTGACGAGGTGAAACGTTGTCTCATGAGAGTCAAACAATTGCCACTTTTAACACCTTTTCATGCCAAACGACAATTAGCTCAGGCAGTAGAAAACATAATATTCGCACAGCTGATGCGACACCGGCATGTACCGTGACTGTAACCAAGCGAACCTCTTGCGCTGACTAAGTGTGAACGCTAACAGACTGGGTGACAAAATGCTCTTTAAACCGAGATGTAAACTTGGTCCATGTGAGCTGCACTTGATCATAGGCTCTGAAGTTAACATTTAGTGAGATTCTGTGATGCGTCTCTGCCTCCTTTCTCATCCAACGCTGAACGGTTATGTGTCTGTCAGATAGACTGAAGCTTTAGTAGCGCAATGTTTAGGGCAGGTAGACTTTTAAAAAATCTCATTGAATGAATACTTTTTCAAAATTAAACAGGTTAAAAGAACCGGAGACCACTAGTTAGTTACGATTTCATGAATGAACAATTTCTTTTGATATTTTATTAGTTTGTGGCAGATAATACAAAAATAATAATACAAATAATATTTATTTACAAACACACTTTACACCTATCAGAGCTGAGTACCTGAGGACGGACGCTGAGAATGAACCACTCACTCATTACAAATAAGTAAATAAATGTGTAATATATTGATCCCGTACTTGGGAAATTGTTGTGTTGGTAGCAGATGTACTGTGAACAGGCTGTGCCCAGCAGGTGCCAAGCATGTTCTTCCTCTGGGTATTGAACCCAGGATTTTCTGCTCGCAGCTTCAGAGTGGCGTGCTACCCGCTACACTATAGAACCGTCCGGAAGGTGCTTATTACTCGCGGGACTAAGGACTGAGTGATTAATAAGCAGCGCGTGATTAGTTCGTAGTGAGTGATTAGTCTGCAGTGAGTGATTAGTTCGCAGAGGGTTATTGGTTCGCAGTGAGTGATTAGTCTGCAGTGAGTGATTAATTTCAAAAGCAGTTTTAAAAGTAGGCAACTGGACTTGAAAAAAAGTCATCATGTGAGTCGTTGGCACCATGGTGGATTGTTCCCCCTCCCTGTCCTCTGAGTGGGGGTCGTTGGTGTTACTTGAATGGAAGTAACACATGACCACTTAAAGGTCATATTGTTTCGAGCCCTTGGCCACTTTTTTCCAACACCCCCCCACCCCCCTTTTTGGGGTGGATAGAGAAATACATGTACTCAAACACTTAAAAACACTTAAAACTGCTTTTGAAATTGTTATGATGACCTGGATGACTGAGAATATCCACAAGTACAGGGAGTGATTAGTTCACAGTGAGTGATTAGTTCACAGTGAGTGATTAGTTCGCAGAGAGTGATTCGTGAGTTCAATATAAACGAATATTTAAGTCACGAGACTTCATTTGTGTTTGACTTGATGCTTTGTAGAGTTCCATTAGTGGCCATAGGTCAGGGAGCCCTAGGTCAAAGGTCCTGAAAAGAGAGGAGGGTGGTCAAAGATTTCCACGTTAACTTTGAGTCCTCTCCAGGCAGACCTTGGTGCCTGATTTGACGTTGTACTTTTTTGTAATAAACCCATTTATATACAAGTAAGTCAGTGTCAGCAGATATTCCTTCATTCTTCACCATCTAATAATCAATAATATCCCGGAGCCACAGACAGATACAACATTTACGTTAATGCAGCGTAACATATATGTTGTTGAAGTGTTTTACGTCGATGATGTACCATTGTAACATCTAGTGGTAGGATGCCGTAACTACATGGTCAAAGAATAAAAATGCATTGTGGGAGTTGTAGTTTAATATTAATTAATTAGTATTGTTAGCTCTCACCAGCTTTTCACGGGAATAACAGGAGCTATAGAAACAGCAGGGACAGAATCAGAATTTATCTGATTTATTTAACATTTTAGCTACACATTAGTTACATTAGTTTATAGAACTTGCAACTGCATGGAGACTTATTAGACCAAAAACATTGTTCAGAAATTGTGTGGGTATTTAAGTATAAGAGTCAACAGTTAAACTATTGCAACATGGAACAACGTTGAAAACAGTTGTCACACACTGTTTCTGCTTTGCTTACGTCAAGTTTAATGGTTCATTAAGAAGTGCACGTCAATGTTTTGACAGCCGTTTGATTTATTATTACCTTTTCTATGTAGAAAATAAGAAATATTGGCATGTATGTGTGGGCAAATCATAGTAGGTCAAACTCTACAGAGTATAATTGTCATATGAATTATCATGTGGGCTCTATTGGCATAATGGCCCAGATGAAATATATGCATCCTGCTTTTTAGCCCATTTGCCACACGAGCTTGTTTCCCACACAGATGTTGGCTGCAGAGATTGAGGTTTAACATCAGATGGAAAACAATATTTTATGTTAATTTATGAATGAGAACAAAAAAAATAGCAAAACATATGACAAACATTTTCTACTCTATGATCCATCACAGCCAACCTCAAACTCTAGTTATCATTAACTTCATTTCTGGGGGATGTAAAATTCTAACCACGATGGTGCAGAGTCCTTCTTCACAGCTAAGTCTGTCTATATAGATACATTGTGTGTAATGTTTTGTAACGCCATGGTCTGTTTTAGCTGGTTAGTATCAGGAAACACAACTCATCACTGTGTGCCCTCTCAGGCTAGAACAGTAAAAGAAAAATTACAACACAGGAAGCCATTACACACTGGAATAAACCAACAATACAAGTTTTAACATTTGTTGCAATAGTAAAATATCTTCAATTAATTGATCACCTCTTTTTTATTTTGGACTGGAATTTTACATAATTAAGGCAGAAGGATTGGTGTCATTTCATCATTCCATAAAAGTCATTCTCAGTTATGAAACACTGTCCATCATGGATCAGATATACAGTACAAATGCTGGCAGTGATCATCCCACCCTGGCTTTAAGATAAATACAAAGACTATATTGAATCTGAACGAAGATAAAAACATGGTTCCATGCCTTTTTAAAAACAACAACATTACATGCTCTTTATTACTTCACCACAAATATCTTCATAAGCTTCACTTCCTCCCTCGGAGCATACCTGGGAAAACAACCAGACAAAAGGTGCAAATATACGGACAGATGGTTCATTAATGAATAATCCTGGAACATTATCTTACTAACTAATATTACAGCAGGTGTTTTTTAAGGTGTGTTCTTCAGATGTTTGTAAGGCCTAAATAAACCCAACGTTCTTCTGGCATCTAATAAAAAATCTTAAATACCTCAGCTGTCAATCATGGTCGACGGACAAGTCTGCTGTAGTTACTGATGTTTCCAGAATGTGCTGAGGTTCTATAGTGTCTCACAGAAAACTGTCCTCATTGGACACATAGGAGAATCCGACGAAGGCGTTGCTGCAGCTGGTGCTGCCACTGAACTCCGGAGTCCGACTCACCGAGTTGGGAACCATTTCTCTGGTGAATTCTGGATCAATGTGCTGCGTGTCAGCTGGTCCTCTCTGACAAATGAGAAGATGAGGAAATAATGAGATCATTTCTCTCCTCTAAGGAGAGGTTCATACAACCTACACACCAGTACAGGACAATAGGTGAGTTAAACATATTTATCAAATGTAATACATATATATATATATTATATATATTTTCTAATACTGTATACTCTAAACTCTGCTAAGAAAATCCAAACATTACTTTATGAGAGCTAAAAATCCTAAGTCTAAGCACCCAGTATATTATAAAGTATAATAAATAAAATTAGTTGTGTCAAAACATTATTGGGTTTGGACACTCGGACACTCACCACATTAGGATTGTAGGGAGGAGTGATTCTCTTATGGTAGAGGTCGTCCCAGTTGATGGGAGTGAAGAAGATGTGGTTCTTTATTTCTAACTGTACGTTTGCAAAGAGAAAATAATCAAATATGTTGTTTACACATCTTCATATAAAGACACCACATTTACAAGTCAATAAAAAGAAACTGGGGTCAAACCACAGAGCCATGTCCGCTAGTGAACTGTCTGGGAAACTATTTTCTAACTCACAAAGTCAGCGATGGAGCCCAGGCGTCTGTGTGGGTCTTTCTGAAGAAGTCCCACCAGTAGAGAGCGGATGGCGTCAGACTTTCCTGGAGGCATGTGCAGAGGTTTGTGGAGTATCCCATCATACATTTCACCTACATCACGGCTGTAGAAGGGAGGCTGCAGCAGAGAAAGAGATCCAGACAGCATTCATCAAACACTTTGTCCTCCACATTTGTAATTTCTAAATTTGAAATTTCCTATCTGACCAATTCTTCCGTCGGCACTATGCACAAGGGCTAAGAATACTTTTGTTTACACTGAACACGTCAACAACACGTTACGTCAATGCTGACAGCACTCATACATGACCCAAAGTGACACACACCAGACTGTAGATCATCTCATAGAGCACAGTTCCCAGACACCACCAGTCCACGGTCCTGTCATACGGTTCCTTGCGAATAATCTCTGGAGCCAAGTACTGCAGATATCCAAAAAAGAAAGTACATTTGTAATTCAACTCAGTAAGGTAAAGTCAACAGGAGAAACTTTTTTTTTTTAACTCACTTCTGGTGTTCCACAGAAGGTTGAGGTGGTTCCCTCTGGTTCTACACCCTCTTTACACAAGCCGAAATCTGTTCTAACCACATGACCCTGAAAAAAAAAAAAAATATATATATATATATGTATTAATATTGCTGTCAAAATTAACAAGTTAGTTGTGTTAATTTGATTTTTTTTTTAATATTTTAACACGAGCAGTATAATGCACACTAGACACCCAACTTATCATTAACACACAGAGTTAACACATATTATTATTTGCATAAAAGCAACATTTTGAACTAGTTTAGCATTATTTTATATAGCATTTTTCTATATGAATAATTCCAACGTTTGGAATAGTCACAAATAAAAGCAAGTATGAAAATACGTTTGTTTTATTTGTCATATTTGAGAAATGTTGATTAATCTTGATTACTAAAACCAATTGTTCAACGGCCCTAAATGTTAGGTGAACAGTTTTCCACAGTCAACTGACACTGACGTTGGTCTGTAGGAATGAAGTTGACTGACCTGAGAGTCAAGAAGAATATTCTCTGGTTTCAGATCTCTGTGGAAAGTCAAAGAAGCAGACCATCAGTGTAAAACTGGAGTACTCCTCAAGTGATCAGATGTTTTTTATAAAGAAAAACAAATAATCACCGTAACTGCGTGTGTTATGACAAAATTATATTCTGTGCTATTATCCACCATTTGACTACTAAACTCACGTAGTCAGTGGAAAAACACTGAAATGACCAGCCTGACCTTATGTCTCACTGATGGGAGATGCTGCTCATTACTGTTCTCCCGTTCCTGTAAGACCTTGACAATTGCATGGACATACTCCCTGTTTGACTGACTCGTACTCGTGCAACTTGCCAAAACATGTGTTACCTGTAAACTATGTTGAGAGAGTGAAGGTAGCCGATAGCACTGGCCACCTCAGCAGTGTAGAACCTGGCCCTGGCCTCGGAGAAACATCTCTCCTTCTGCAGGTGGAAGAACAGCTGCACCGAGACAAAGACACCGATGGAGAACATAAATGCAGTTTTAGTGATACATTAATGTTTTTTTCATGTGTCCATTTAAGACACGTACCTCTCCTCCGTTGACATAGTCCAGGACAAAGTAGAGTTTCTCTGAGGTCTGGAAGGAGTAGTGAAGTCGAACCAGGAACGGGTGTTTGAGACTCTTCAGCAGAACATTTCTCTCTGCCATAATATTCTTTTGCTGAAGGGAAAGAATAAAAACTGAATAAATGTATGAAAACAATAGATTTACAGCCTTCAGTGGCTGTTGAATTTTAAAATTTGCCAAGAAAAAGGAAATACAGTTGAAGAAAGAACCGTTTGTTCTTCTTGGTTGATTTCAACTATGACCTTCAGTTCATTTTTTTTTATTTTAAGTTTAAGTTTATTATCTGATGATTCATGTCCTGTGTCAGTGAACATAATGACGTCATTCTCTTCTTCCTGTTATTTTCCACATAATCTGTATCTGTGGCCAAACTCTGTCTCCTTGTCATGTCAATAAAATAAAAACATAAAATAAAATGAAAATACAACCCTGGGTGTAAAATACAGTAAATCAAAACAAAACTGGGTGGTAATGGTTACACTATAATTTGATTTGTTTTTGTGTATTTTCTCTGCCCTCTGGTGTTTGAAGCAAATAAGGAGGAGTAAGAACTGTGGTATTTGATGTTTTCACAGTTTTTACATGAAAACAATGAATTAGCTTTGATTTCATTGTTAATTTGCCTTCTGTCTAACAACAACAACAACAACAAACACACATGAATAAAATGGTGAGGGTTGAACCAAAACCATAGAGAAAAATAATATAAAGGTTATTTTACGCAGCTTTTTAAATAGTTTCACTGTGAACTAATCTTTCGCTGTGAACCAATCTTTCATTACGAACTCTCTCCGTTTTATTATCAACTCTGTCATTATACTGCTGCAAAGTGGATCAAAGATGAAATACTTTGGTGCAGTCAGCAGGTGGCGGAATAAGTCGAGACAACACATACAACTAAATACAAATACTTGATGGTAAAATATATTGGAAATAACTAAAGGAAATGTAAACAATATGGCCAATACACACAGCAAAATGACTTTGGATACCTGGATATAGGTTTCATATAAAGGTTATTTTACGCAGCTTTTTAAATAGTACAAAAAGATAAAAAAGACTGTCAACAAAACGCTCCACAGCAGGAGTAGAAACAGACACTTGAAATGACCAAAAGAGAGCAGTGTGTTTAATGGGACTATCTCAGGCAGTTCTCAGGCTAATGCTGAGGTCACTGTTTATTTTCTGGGTAGTTGTAAAAATGTCCTTTGTACAGAACAGACTGTAGATGAGATAAGATCCAGATCATGCTGCCGAGTACAAGTGCTGTTTACTAACAACAACCACAGACGCTTGTCCTCACAATCATTCCTTAAGGTCTGACTGCACACTTTCTTTTAGAACAGTGTGTCTCCTGGTTAGATATTGTACTATCTCTAATGTATAACTGAGACACAACTAAGTAAATCCAACTTTTTATTTGATCACTAAAGGAAACTTTCTGAGATTTTTCAGTATATTTTTGTCCAATGTTGACTTTTATTTCTAAGATATAGAAAAAAATTAGAAAGTTTTAAACTTTTGCTTAAACTAAACTTACTAGGATACTTTTAAATTGACATTTAATAATAGTAGCTAATATAGTTAGCTTGTCAAATTTTGAATATTTTCTTTCTATAGGCATATTTGGTTTATTTTTTTGTCTGAATACTATTTCTGTTAGCTTTTAGCTATATCTGGGACATTATCTTTGCCAAATTGTATCTATTTTTTTGTAACTTTTAGATATCCATATCGTTCTGTCAGTATGTTTTTGCATGTTTCATAAATGATTTATGATGACCTTTATCATCGTGTCTATTTATAATACTTGTGTATTATCTTTTAGTGAATTATTTCTTTACTATTGTACTAACCTTTTACTCTACAACTACTTTGTGTCAGATATATTTCCACTAACTTTATTTGTTATAGTCCTTTTTAGTGTGGACACTTTACACATTTGTTAGCATACAGTTAGCATAGCTGTTGTAAAATACATGGTTTTGTGAAATCAAAGTTTTTTGTATAAAATTTTAAAGTTGAAGCATCAAAGAAGGAACCCTAGAACCCCAGGCACATTTTTAAATCACACGGCTCTCTTCTGTGATTTGAACTTGAATCACACATTTAAAAAAATAAAAACAGTTGAGCAGTTCTGAAGTGTCCAGGGAGTGTGGGCGACAGAACTCACCTCTTTCTTCTTCAGGATCACTTTCTTCTGCAGCACTTTGACGGCGTAGAATTTGTTGTCAGCTTTGAGCTTGGCAAGCAGCACCTGCATGAAGGGTTTTTTTTTTTTTTTTGTTAGGGGCTTGTTTAGTAAACAATCTGCGCTACCATCACCACACACAGCTGTCAGATCAGCACACAACACAGATACTGGATGTCAGTGGAAAACAGATGATGTGAGTAGTCCAGGGTGGAGAGGCCGGTACGAGCACGAGGCGAGATTGTACTTTCTATGCAGGTTTTAAAAGTTTTTTTTTTTTTTAATTCTTCCTGTTATTTTCCACACAATCTGTATCTGTGGCCAAACTCTACCACTGTCTCTTTGTCATGTCAATACAATAAAAACACAAAATAAAATGAAATTACAACCCTGGGTGTAAAATACAGTAAATGAAAACAAAACTGGGTGGTAATGGTTACACTATAATTTGATTTGTTTTTGTGTATTTTCTCTGCCCTCAAACACGCATGAATAAAATGGTGAAGGTTGAACCAAAACCATAGAGAAAAATAATATAAAGGTTATTTTACGCAGCTTTTTAAATAGTTTCACTGTGAACTTATCTTTCACTACGAACGAATTACTCTGTGAACTAATCTTTCACTACGAACGAATCATTCTCTGTGAACTAATCTTTCGCTTTGTTGTCGCAGATTCGTTTCATTTGTCACGTGACAGAGAGCTCGGGTCTCTTTTGCTCTCATTCATCTTCACATTGTGGTGTGTTTTTATTTCTTAGGTTTTCACATGGTTTTAATTGCTTATGGCATTTTGGTTACTTCGTAGACTTTGTCAGCGGAAGCAAACCACGTTTCCTTCAGTATTTAGTGTCGGAGAACCGCAACCTTCTTTACAACGCCCACAATAGGGCTAAAGCGCCACCTGCTGTAAAACGAATAAAATGATTCGTTCAAGATTCGTTGAATCAGTAAAAAAAAGTCGGTCTTCCCATAACTAGTGAAAACCTTAGTGAGCAATAGGGTTAATGTTTAATGAAGCTGGCAGCGTGTTGGGGTTAAGGGAATAGATCAAACTACAGTAGAAGACACGGCTCCGTTTTATTATCAACTCTGTCATTATACTGCTTCAAAGTGGATCAAAGATGAAATACTTTGGTGCAGTCAGCAGGTGGCGGAATAAGCCGAGCCAAGACATAATAAAACTAAATACAAATACTTGATGGTAAAATATATTGGAAATAACTAAAGGAAATGTAAACAATATGGTCAATACACACAGCAAAATGACTTTGGATACCTGGATATAGGTTTCATATACACCTGAATACATCTGGTTTGATCTTGGATGTTGAATTGTTAGTATAAAATGTCATTGTAATGTTGGCAGGATCACTTTCACTCTTGGACTGACATCACAGTGGGCCTGCAGCCCACATGGAACACACTTTTCTGACTATCTTGCAATCACATAAGACCCACATTCAAATTCTGGGGTTGACTGTGACGAACAGGTTAGGACAGATGGAAGAATGGTGCAGTATGAATAAGTAACTGTTTCACTGTTACCTTTCCAAAAGTGCCTTTGCCAATGACAGCCAAGAAGTCAAAGTCAGTGGGCCTGGCACTGGGAGAAGAAAGAGAGTAATCTATTAAATAATGTATAAACAATGACAAACTGTCCTCACTGAGTAACTTGAGGAACCAGTCTGACAATAAAACACTCCGAGCACAGTCATTAATCCAGATCAGTGATATTAAACTGTCTGACAGTGGATGGATGGATGGCTGTGTTTTACACAAATATTACACATGGCAATAGCAAGGACAGTGATGGTCCAAAAATGTACAGCTACTTACTGTGGGTTTGCTGAAGGCCCAAGGTTGACGTCATCATGAGGGGAGGAGGTTGGTGACTGCAACGGAATATAAATAAATACACAAAAAACAAAGGAAAATTAAATATATATATATATATTCTCTGTGGCCATATATATGTAAATATATGGGGCCACAACCATTAGCCTTCTATTTGGTAATTTCTGACCCCTACATTTTCAAAACTAAATTTCAGTAATCTGGTCCGTAGGCCCATTCACTGCTGCCTGCATCTGTAGTTACCTTTTTCTTTTTGCAACTTAATGTTATGACAACAGCTGGTGTGGTGTGAAAGAGTCTCTTTGAATAAAATTTGCAAGTCTTGAAAAATATTTTTTAAAAATACTTACATTACAGTCTGCCATAGCTCATATCCATTCCAGTCCCACTGTAGAGGAGAGAGAGAAAAAAAGAAATGTCTTCTCCGTCTTTTTAATAAGTGAAATTCCAAGTCGTTTTCACTCTGTATGAATGTATTCATTTACTGGTTATGTTAAAGAAATACTAGTCAGAAATGTATGCATTTGCATTGTTTTGTGGCCATTATTAAGTGGAATTCACAAAACTCCAAAAATGCACCCAGTAGGTGACAGTGACAGAACTGAAGGACATGGGGCTACAGTTTACACCAAAAGAAGAAGAAAAGGCAGGTAAATTTTAAAGCTAAAACCAATTAAAACAATAAAATGTTGTGTCATTAAACAAAACTTTAACATATGTGAAGTGAACCTTGTGTTGTAAAAAATAGGTGATTTATCTTGACAGCTCCATGCGACCCCTGGCAAGCCTTCTTATCACTGCAGCAACCAGTGTCCATGACCAGTGTCCATGACCAGTGTTTATATTTTTTTATTCCTAAACATAAATGTAGAGTTCCACCAGGAAAATGTTTGACATGAAACAGTGAAGTTGAACCTGGACTCTCCACTCAGAGATCAGAACATCACAACAGTGTTCTTTATATGCTCACACAGAGGTGGAGTTGAGGAGAGACTTAAACAGAGTGTAAACAGATGATGTTGCACACTTTGCCTTTGAGGTCCGGGCTAGTGTTTTGGGTAAGCTGTCCGCATGAATGGAAGTCACCAGTGAGTCTGACCAAGAATAACTGCCCGTGTCCTGTGTGTTTGTATATGTTTCCAAATTACCTGCTGACCTCACTGTGAGACCCCTGAACTCAGAGGAGCCGGACTTTCAGGTTTAAGCAGCTCATGGACGACAGTGACACGATGAAGGACACTGTGAGTGTGAGCATGTGTTTGTGTGTGTGTTTGTGTGTGCATTTAGTGACTGTATCATTAGGTATGTTGACACTGTTTATGCTGTAAATATAGGACTCACTCTCACGCACAGAGAGACATCAACCACATGCAAAAAAAAAAAGGTCTTCTACATTTTCTCTTTCAGCAAAAAGAAATTCACAGAATTATCATGTGCTGTATGTAACCTTGAAATTATTTCTATTGGCTTCTATTTGTTTCTAAAAACCGAATCCATTGGCAACAACCAGGCAACGTCTAACAACTTGAACTAATTACAATCATCCCAACTTCACACATGAGGTCATGAACTTCTGCACCAAATTATTTTCTGGTCATCACTGAAATGGTCCACAAATAATTTAAGTGAGAACTTTACTAATTTTCTTACCTTTGCTTAAACTTATCCAGGTTGACTTCAGCGCTAACGCCAACAGCAGTAACAATTGAACATTTAGTTCAGAAATACATTAATCCAGAGGGGGGAAAGCAAAAAGTGTGAAGTTAAATCAGCACAGTCATATTTTTGTCAATGCTGTGACAATGTGAAGAAATCACCACCTCGAACGTAAGGACGAAAAAAACAGAACAGAACCTGTGAACAATCACATGTAATCGCTCCATTCTCTGCAGTTAAAGGCTGTATGATATGAAATATTCTGATGCTTCCCTGGAGAGTTATAAATTAATAATTTAATGAGGGCAAAGGTCAACCTTTACTGTCCCTCTACTCCACTGAATCATAAAAGGTGTTCAGGAATTATCAGTCATTTTCCACAGATAGGATCGACTGCTGTTCAATCACATTTTACCGTGACAGGAGAATTCAACTTCTAAATCTAAAATCTAATATTTGTTTAAAAGAAGAAGAACACGTTCACATATGGTTTGCTCTGTGGCACTGCGGCAGCCTGATAAGGTTCAGTATCTCACAGCAGTTTTACTTTCAAAACATCTCAGTGAGACTGATCTGCAGACACCAGGCTGCAGCAGGTCACAGGTGACAACAGACCACAACCTCTGACTTCTTCAACACACACACACACACACACACACACACACAGACACACAACCTGATGATGACCAGAGTCCAATCAGTGCAGTTTCCTCACCTGTGTGCAGATCAGTGTGAAGGCAGTCACTGCTGTGGACTGTAGAGACTTGGAGCAGCGACGCTCCAGGAGACTCAGCTGCTGCGCTGGAGTTGATCTGACACAAACACAAACACACGTACACACAGGGAGGACCAAGTCAGCCAAGTGAATCATTGATGGAGAGACACAGGAGTTTAAAGAACACCTGTGTGAGTGTACAGAGGAGGTGGAGCTCTCTCTCTCTCTCTCTCTCTCTCTTTCTGACTACACGTTCATCTCTGTTTTCTGGTGTAAACACTGACCTCATGTGGACCATTAGTTAAAATTAGGAATTAGCTGCTGATGGAGCAAAAATGGATTTAGCTGAATTTAGCCAGATATACTAGGTGTTTGGCAGAAGATAACTGAAGTAGGATAAGAAATAGATAGTAGCTAATAGTTGACTAAGACTACTGAGTTAGACACAAACTAACCAGTCAATTCATTATTCAATATATGCTGTAAAAGCTGTTAAATATCACCCGCACTACATTCATCACTTTGACTTAATCTATTTAATCGTGTAAAAATGAAAATCATCTTTTATTCCATGTGTTTTACTTCTACTCTTCACACCTACAAGAAGCCAAAGATACAACTTTATTAAATACTTGAAGTGTTTTAACATTCCCACTGTTCCTTTATTTGACTGTCCGACTGTAGGCTGGTCATATTTTCTGGCCCCTGAAACAGAACGTTAAGATACAAAGAGAGGACATAAAAGGAGATTTCACCACCACAGCCAACTGTTGATGACAATATGGTCAATAGGGGGATGTGATGCAAGCAAAAATAAGTTTATAGTCAATAGTGCAGAGCACAGAACAGGCCTGCAGAGACAGAGGTAATGTAGCGTGTGTCTGTGTGTGAGATCGAAAAGCACCAGACTCAGAGGAGACCAGACAGCTTTGGACGTTTATTCATTTGTATGGACTGAATGACAAGTGTGACTCAAGATTCTCTTGACACTCACACGCACACACAAATCCCACCAGAGAGACGTACACAAAAAAGTCATACTTGAGATTTCCAGAGCCCTTAAACTGCCCTGTAGAATAAACTTTCATCAGACAAAGTCAGATTCACACATACTTTAATTTTTACCCACTCTGACATCAAATGTAAACATTTCCAAGAATGGGCTCGGAATGGAGTTCTTCTTCACATGTAAACTGCAGAGAGCTCCATCGGTGGGTCTCAAGGAGAATCCCCCTTTATAGTGCTAATGTGTGGATTTTTGCACTCTCGAGTGACCAAAGGTCAGAATGTTGGTGCTTAAATCCATCTGAGTTTCACAGTTGTGCTCACATGTAAATGCAAAGTGCCTCTTCCTCTAGGAAGGATGACCTGAAAATAATTGTTGATTTTTTTTTTTTGCACAAACTATAAATGTACAAAAGTTTCTTTCTCTTTCTGAATCAGATCAGAAATAAACCCCAACCAGGCACCAGGTCTGTGCTTTCCCTCATCAGCCTCCACTTTGACTTTTGTTACTTTTCTGAGTTAATTAATTAATTAATTCTTATTTGAATCAGTCTTTTTTTATTTCACAAGATGTGAAGCTTGTTAAAGCCCCATTGATCAGTTTCACTCATGAAAACTGGACCCATTGTTCCAAATCTGAGCATCTCCAGCCAAACGTGTGTTCCCATCACAGGACTTACTACCAGGAAATCGGTGCCAAAAACAGTGTGTCCAACATAGGGACTAGGACTAATTGCACAGTTATTTAGGCCCAAAACGATCCTTGCTCCACACGTGTGGAAAGATCAAGATCTGGTCGTATTTTGTCTGATTTATCATTTTTACAAGACCTAAGTTTCAAGCCTAAATATTTTTGTCTTAAATTGGAGGAATAAAGAGCCAACGCCATGGATCAGAAACACCTTCAGAGTATATATCACAGTACTCATTTGCATATGTATAATCTCGACTGGTCTTTCACCACAGTGGAACTGCAGGCAGACAGTGTTAGTAGAGAACATTAACTTTTCTCGAAAGTGGTCCCTAAGAGCTCAATAGTTCCCGTGGTGCACAGTGGGAACACAGCTTAGGACTCAAAGTCACAGCAGGAAGTCACTTTGGCTGAAGAGCAACAAGAGGCCGGTGACACACCAGCAGTTGGTTAAAAGCAGACTAATGTTTAGTAAAACTCTGATTTCACTGACCCTGCCTCAGCTGTGCTCTGTTCACTCTCTCTGCCACTGAATCTTTTGTACGTTCCTAAAATTCTTCTAGACCTTATTTTTGACCTCTGCTGTACTCACCCTAACTACGCTCTAGCTTCCTCTCTGATGGGCACAGGACACCAGACACATGAAAAGCGATCAGGGCTTTTTTTCCCTGCCATAAAATGAATTTTGGCACATGATGATTTGGTGGATTCACATGACATCACTTGAGACCCTCATCTGTGCTTTTGAACATGAGGATGGCGTTGGAGATCTTCAGTGCAGGACCAAGTTTGATGCTCATGATTTTCACAATGTCGGTCTGGGTGAGCAGCAGAAAGGCCTCCCCGTCAATCATCTATAAGAGAGACAAACAAAGCAGGGACGTCATAAGTTTATCCCAATTAGTAAACAGAAGACAGTCTAAGGGCAGACGTCTCCAACTTCTAGCCTGCGAGCCACTTTGGGCCCACCAACCATGGTGAAAGCACAGAAGCATTTAGCAAACACAATATTGAATTACAATCACACAATCTGAATACAGCGGTCCAGTGTGGGCATTTACATACAGTCGATACAAATGTAAAACTCAAAGCTTAAGCTAACTCAAAATGATGCACGTAAATAGGCCACAAAATTAGAATGAATTCATTCATATCTGATTATTTTGACTGAAGTAAATGTGAGCTTGGATTAAACACTAATCATCACTAATCATACAGTATCACAGAGGATGGATTACAGTATATAAATATTATATGCAAGTACCTATATATGAGGCAATGCATATTAATGAAGATTTTATAAAACTATGAAACATTTTAGTCAGAGCTAATTTAATCTTCATTTCCTCTGCAGTGAGAAGCCATGGGAAAGACACCACACAAGAAACAAGGCTCACAAAGCAGAGCAACACAAAGAGAAATACTTCTTTGCTCAGCAACACCTGACAGCAGTGTTGTTGATTATTCTCAGGTTTCCACTGCATACGCGTCAACTGAGCAACTGTACTCTCATTATATTCCTGTGTGAATGTTTTCATAAACACCTCATCCTTGAAGAGGCGAGCCTGGTCTTCGCAGCCGATTAAGTTCTGGACAAACCTGAAGACCTGCAGGAATTAGGACAGGAATTAGGAATACAGTTATTGACAAACAAATAAGGGAGAAAATATGGAGATGGTAGAAAGAGGAAAATCCAAAAAACGTCATGCCTCATCAACGCTCCACGCTGCCACCTGACTGGCGTGAATGCCTTGAACACCTGGCAGCAGCTTGCAGTGCTGCTCCCAGCACAAAGACAGAGTCCTGTCAGTCTGACTGCTCAGAGCCGACATGAACAGTGAGGGGTAGACCTCTGAGGACATGTCTGACACACACACACACACACAATTCATTGTTAACAAGTACATATATGACAAACCTAATGTTACGTTTTATTACGTGGCCCCGTCTTTGTAAGGATGAGGTTGTTACTGCTTCATCCTATTCTGAATGTTTATTTTCAAAGTAAATAAAAGTCACAGCAAATATATCAAACTCACTCTGGTAGTCTCTCTGTTGGTTCTTCCTGTATTTTGGAGGACGCCCAATCCTAAAAAATAGATGCAAAGATAAATGTAAGACAGAATACACACACATGCACAGACACACACTCAAACACACGCACAGGCAGCACTACCTGCCACGATAGTGTGTCTTCTTGGTCCTCTGTCCAAAGAAGAGGTTCCTCTTGCCTTCTGAGTCTGACAGGTCAGCCTTCAGTCTGCCCTGGTTACGCTCAGCCAATGGGCAGCCAGATATACAGTGATGAGCAGTGAAACGACCCGTCACATGACCTGAGCCGTCACAACCAGGAGTTGGACACTTTCTGTTTCATAGAGAGATGTTGAGTCAATTAAAAAAAAAAACTGGTGCCAGTTAACAAAGTAGAGATGAGAGCTGGTCACTAATGAGTGTGTCTCAAGTCTCAACCGTCCTTATTAACCTTCATGTAATTTTCCTTTAGAGAAGTCAGGTAAAAGTTTAGTCAAGTCAAGTCACATTCACATCTAGTCAGGTTAACTCAAGTCAAGTTATATTAAGTCATTAGTTACATCAAGTCAAGTCACAGCTTTTATCAAGTCTAGTACCAGTCATTCCTCTCAGTTACTGCTGTAAGTCCTCTTCATTACCATGTAACTGCAGTCAGATGTTTATTCTAAATTAAACCACAGCAGAAGCTGAACCTGTTGTGGAAGCTGTACTTGGTGGTTCTGGCGTGGCTGATGGGTTTACAGGGAACAGAGGATGGGTAGGTGGACTGAGCTGTGGCAGGAGGTTCTCTCACACCTGTAAAACAAATAAACAAATACCAACCAAGAAAGCAAGAAGCACAGGTCAAAATCTATATAGAACTTGGGTTCATTTTCTCTTCACCACTGCTGCAGGAAATCCAGCGTAACTTTTTACCATGTGGTTGTTGGGGTTTCGGCTCCCGTGGGGGAACCTTCAGTGGGTGACCGGTGGCTTCACACCAGCCAGCTGGGTGTATGTCTGGGTGATCAGAGTCCATCCACTCATCATAAACATGACTCCACCCATCATAATGGACCTGAAGCAGGAAGTGAGAACAAAAAGACCATTAGCAACAAGATCCCAGCTGACAAATCCACTCATTTAAAGCTGTTATGAACTTAAGGGAAATGAAGCATCCACCCACAAACACACTTACACACACACAGGCACTCATAAAGTTCATAACCGCAGACATTAAGGACTTCATTTTTCATACATACACATACACACAGTATCACCTTAATGCGGTGAGTGTCCACTTCTTCCACTGTGCTAACTCTGATCAGACCTGGACTTCTCTTGTCCACTGCTTCCAGTTTCATCTGAGGTTGAAAGTTATGTGGTAGGCGCTGGGGAAAATGAGGAAAATATTATTACACTGAGTGTAGAGTGGTTTAAGTACATTTACAATGTCTCTGTAGATGGAATTGTACAAAGACAAGAGAAGGATAAAAAACTTTTGTGTAATGGCCATCATATACATATGTTTATAGATGTGTTTTATATTAACTTCAGTTAGGGTTAAGCATTACAACAAGCTGCATAAAAATCACAGATAAATTAATATAATAAAAATAAATAAATACATTCAGTTATAACACAGTACTTGATTCTGATTTTAGGTCCTATTTCTGTAATAAACCAGAATTGGCATGTCTTCATTCAATGACTCCACAGCTCAGCTCATCATAGCTATCATAACTTTACCATATATACCCTCCTATAGCCTTGTAATAAAATAAAATAAACATACATAATACAACAAAATGTACATTTGATAATGTCTTACCACTTTAAAAGCATCAGCAGCCACAGCTTTAGAACCAGTGTCCTCCAGATAACGCGACCAGGAGAACCGACCCTTATCCGGAAAATCTGCTATCAGTGAAAGAAAATAAATGTCACTTTTAACCACTAAACGTAACTGTCTCCACAGCTCATTTGCAGAATAACAAGCTTACATCTTATGCATGCCCAACAAGTTACTTTAACTGTGTTCAAAATGTCAATAAATATGATGTACTACAACAACAAGCGACCTTGGGGTGGTGTTAGGGCCAAGTTCCTTTCCTGGCACCAACCAATTGGATGAATGTACGGGCTGCTGGCGTCACACCTGTACATGAATGGCAGAAAAAAAAGGGTGTCATCGAGCAAACACATTGAAAAACAATATAAGTAATGCAATACTGCAACTGACAGGAAAGCAGAAATAATCAGTCATATACAGGTTAACGGTTCACATTCAGCCATGTTAAATAAGCAGCTCATAATCACATTTTTAATAAGCTCCCAAAAGTATACAAAACACACCAGTAGTCGTACGTGTCGTCCCAGTTGTCGAAATGAACCAGGAAGCGTTGGTCCACCATGTCAGTGACAGTGGCAACACAGATGAGGGAGGGGTTCATGCGATCCACAGCTTCAAGCTTCATTCCTATCTCAAAACTACACTTGACATCAACCTGAAAAAAAAAATAGAAATATTTAAACTCTTAACTTAAGGCAACATTTTATACGTAAGAGTCACAGCGTTTACCTTGCCAGGACTGGCAAACAGTTCTTTGGGAGCGACTTGTGCTTTAGTCATTTTCAAGTAGTTGGTCCAGGTGAACTCCTCCTCTTTGCAACCTGGAGGAAAAATGGAAACAAAAAAAGTTTATTGAAATCAAATTTGTAAAAACAATAGAGTATGTGTTTTATCAAACACTTGGGGATGAACTGAGGATAAATGTGTCTTATACTATATACTATACTATATAAAGATTTTTGATAAAGTACAGCAGAGATTCTGTAGTGCGGGCATCCCTGCGGTTGTGTGAGCTGACACGAGGCGGTGCCGGAGATAAAAAAAAAAGTGATGGCGGTTTGGAGTGTACGGTAATTTTTCCTGACAACAAAGAGAGATAAAAAAACATTTCCTTTGTAAATTAAGGTGGGGGGTGTAGCCAAATAAGTCTGGGAACCACTGAAGTAGCTACAGCTTTCACTCAGGTATGAAGCCAATATGAACCAATAAAAACCAAGGTGCATTTTATAGTCATTGGTATCATTAACATTAATTAAACATTTGACGAAAAACAATGACATTAATACGAGATAAAAAAAAACTAGATGACTCTCTGAAATTATTTCTTTTGAAGGATACACACACACACACACTGTAAATGTTATAGTGTCAGTGTTGCCATATCTGACCTTTGGGAGTGTGCAGTTTATGCCCTGTGCTCTCACACCAGCCTGCAGGGTGGATGTCAGGGGAGTTGGCATTCACCCAGAAGTCATGGCAGTCAGAGTAGCCATCGAAGTGGAGCCGCAGACGGTAGCCACAGACCTGAAGAAGGACATGACAGGTGTCATTTCACAGAACAAAGTTGTCAGCGTGTGGACATTAACAGGACACTAAGACTCATGTCTGGCTCACCTCAGCCACAGTGAGGACAAAGTACATGGATGGATGTTGTGGATCAATGCCTTCCAGCTTCATTCCCTGCTTGAAGCCATTCTTCACAGTTGGCACTCTTTGAGACTAAACACGGCGGATTTAAAAGCAAACTCGTCAGTGCAGAGAAAAGACTTTGCATCTAAGTATGTGAATTTGCAGAGAAAAGACTTTGCATCTAAGTATATGAAACCTGAATGATCACTTTGAGGAGAATGAATCAGAGGAGAGAAAAGAACCAAGCAAATCAGAGGCATGGATTAGAGAAATATTATCATTATCATAGTATGTTCTTTAGCCTATTTTTGGGGAACAAAAAATATCTTTGGATAAAAGCTTTGTCAGCAAAAATCTCTACATTGTTGGAGAATCAAATTTCTTCAGAATGAAAACGCTTTAAGAACACCCTTCAAAAAATGTGTGCCTTTGGCTCCATGCACTACTTTTTCCAAACGGCATTTACATTTTCAATCTTCTTCCCTGACAATGATGTACTACTTTTTCATAGCTGCCAACAAAATCCTCCAGGTCCTATAAGAGGAGCTGCAGTGGTTGTAATAGAAGTAGTAAAAAAATCAAGGGAGCACTGGGGTGAGCTGAGTGTAATGAGCAGCAGCTCAGGCTGAGGCTGCAGATTGAATACCAAACTCGTACATACCTCTTGGAAAAGCTTGGTGGGAGCAGCGATCGCTTTGGTTTCCTCCAGATACTGTGTCCATGTCCACTGCTCTGTCTTATTGTCTCCAGCTTCACAGGAAATACCAAATATTACATTCATTTATGCAGCATGCAAAACAGCAAGACATTACCAGAACACAAACTGAGACCAAAAAAACACAGGGAGAGGGATTTAATGATGGAACAGATGGCAGGAATGAGTCTAGGGTAGAACGGAAAAAAAATACAGACAATTTTCTGCTTCTTAACGAATCACAATGTAAATTTCTGAATTTTAAATAAAACAAAATACTAATAGCATGGCAAAATATTTCCATTACACAGCGACAACAATTGATCTAGATGCTGGAGGAAAAGTGTTTTGAATAATTGTTTTTGATCAGTAATTACATTACATCACAGGGGTATTCATACACAGTATATTAATGAGTCTTATTGTCTCTGAAGGGAGAAAGAAAGAACAAAATTGTGTAACAAAATCTGCAACAAACCTGAAATTGAATTAAAATAATTTTGAAATTGCAGTGATCAACACACATAAGATCCTTACCTCCTCTGATGTGTCCTCCCTTAGAGTCGTCCATTTTCTCATCCTATGTCAATCAAAATAATTTAAAAATAAATTTAGTGTAAAGCCTAAAACATTTAAGTCACTTTGAATTATTTATTTAGTGTTATTTATGACCCATTTTTTCCATTTCTCTTAGTGTGTGCTTAGATGATGAAGATCCTTTAAAACGGAAAACATTCTGTTCTTTTTCAGTAATAATACAAAAATATGAAATGTGAAACGGTTAACTGTCCCACCGTGCCCTCGTTGTCAGAGTCTTCCTCAGACGGACTCAGGTATTCTTTCCTCTTCCTCTTTCTCATTGGTTTCAGATGATCTGGGTTCAGAGAGGGGACCCTTCCCCCTGCCGGCACCTTTTCGATCCCGATGCTCCTCCTGGAGCACAGAGAAGAAATGTTCTTCCTAAAATCTAAGGGCATTCCCAGACTTCTTTGTGAAAACTTTGTTTAAATATAAAATAGAAGGAGTTTCCCTTCAACCTAACTGCTGTCATAAATGAACTCCACTAATGCGTTTAACTCTAAATACTATTGTGAATTGAAGGGCTAGTCTGTTTATGTAGAGATTCTATTAATAGGGACATTAAGAATCAATAATCATTATGAACAGACCTGTCAGTGATGGCGTCTCTGTGAAGTTCCTCTGTGTAGCTCCTCTGAGGTTTCGGATCGTGGTGGTGTCCAGGGCCGACCTGAGCTTCTGGTTTGACTGACAGCAGTCTTCCTGGTTCTACAGCTGGAACTCTCACTGAATTGATGGGAGCTGACATTTCTGACAGGAGGAGAACAGGCAAGTCACAAAAAAGTTTGCATTTCAAATTCAGAACAAAATCCCAAACAGGTAAGTTTACTATTCCCACTGCCTTCAATTTCCACAATTTAAATGCAACATACGGTATATTCTAGCAGTTGATTCAGAGTGGTGCTTAGTTAATGCCTTAAACATTAACTTAAAACTGCCTTCACATGGTCAGGAACCATTGTTGCTTTTTGTTATTTTAGGTATAGTAACTGGAAACAAATAATGAGTTGAGTGTTGTTTTAAATATTAATAGTGTCAAAACTTTACTATACTGTGATATCTCCTGTTTTTGCATCACAACATCCTTATGTAACTCTGAGTCTACCTGGCTTGTCTGCCGCAACACCTTCTGCATCTGCAGATCTCCCAGAAGCCCCTGCTGCTATTTCAGTGGTGTTGCTGGTAGTGGTCCCTGGGGTGATCAGTGTGCTCAGTGTTCCCACATCACTCACACAGAACTACACAAATTCACACATACACAAACACACACACACATACATGCATTAATGAGTCCATCTGTGAAAAGGCACATCTGTAAATTTTACTCTGTCTCTTTGAAGATCTCTCTTTTCTTTTGACAGTGCAATTCTCTTCTGGAAGCATTTAAATCTAGTAACATCATGAGAACATCATGCTGTTACGTTTAAAAACATTAAAGCCATTCTTTGATTTTTCTGGTTGTTCTATGGTTTTGTGCAGCCTCTGTTTGCACATCCTGAAATAATCTGTCAACAACAGAATGGTCAACATTCATCTAAGAAATGGAGCTCTTACACAAACTTAGAGCTTTTTAGCTTTTATTTTCGCGTTGCATTCTTCATCGTCATTAGATTTGTGGTGTTTGTCTCTGTTTTAAGCAGCAGAAGTCACTTCCAAAGGAACAGGAGAATTAAAGAATCATTTTCACAATACCAAAAACATCTACTGTACCTTGAGGTTGCTGCTGGGCAGGATAGCCATTCCCTCCTTCCATTCTAGGACGTGGACAATGCTACAGGCCCCGCCTACCTGTGCAGTCAGGGTAGGCGCAGTTGTGTGATTGGTCCTGCTGGCTTTACCTGGATCTGCCACAGCTACAGCTGGACTCATCTCCACTTTCTGATTACTGGCAGGTGGAGCTGAGGAAAATACTTTGATCAAATGATTTGCTTTTTTGAAATAACTTTAATATAATTTAATATTCAATTATAGTTAACAATAACTACATTTGTCTCGAATCTGTAATGACATTGGTTTGAATAAGTGATGGACACAATGGTTGTAGTAAAATCCCAGGAACTACCGGTAAGAAAAAAATCTGGACGTGATCATTAAATATAAACAGGAAGAAATTGAAAAACATATCTAGTTTGTTTTGTTAAATAAGTCTATAAACCCTTACGCAAATAATATGGAAATCTTATACTGTGATATATAATTATTCTCTGCTCACGTTGACAACCACATGTTCACCCTCGGACCTGTGTTTACCTGGCAGAAGAAGAGCTGTGGTGGTGTGTGGCTGAGGCTGGGCCAGGGGCAGGGGCTTTACTTTCTTTGCCACACCATCACTGCCACAGATGAGAACAGTCTCACCAGGGGTGGTGGAGGATGGGTCCAAAGATCTATGATCTTCTTTGGGTGAAATCTCTGTGTTCACTTTGGCACTCATAATGGCACCCTTACTTTGGAGCGCTGAAAACCAGAGATAATGACGAACAGTATAGACATCATCTCCACTGTCAGGAATTACCATCAGCTTTACTAGCTAAATTGATCTCTAAATAAATCCCATTTTTCTTTGCAGTTACTGAAAAACATTTTTCATTAAATTATTAAAACATTAGGTTTTGCTCCAAATTTGCAGGAAAAAAAATCTAACAATGTTTTATTATTATCTGCAAAGGTAACCACAAAACTGTATCTTTACTGATAAGTCACCTCTAAACCATATTGAAGGATGCTAATAACAACCAAGAGGGACACCATAACCTCAGTGGAACTATTGGAAGAACTGTTAAGACACAATATATCAGATTGGTGTAGAAAACTATAAGAAATAAAAAAAATCACTTTGTCTTCCATCACCTAAAGACAGAAGAATGAAGAATTATTACTGAAATTAATCACAGAGAATATCAGAAGTCTCATCAAATCTGAAGATGCTCGAGAAAATGGCAAATGAAGATGGATATAACCAAAACAAATCTAACAACTCTGTGTAAACAGCTGACCGTTAGATTATAGGGCTCCATACTTTTAACATTTATGAATAGACTAATTTACATAATCTTATTGTGAGCTAAATACATTTTCTGATGTAAAACAGTCTCTTCCTTTTTTTCACTGTGTAATATAAATTCGAATAGAACCAAAACAACAATTCTTCTGAAAATCGCTGCTGACACCATAATAACAACAAGAGTAATTTCTGGCAGCAGCATTTGAAGTAAAAAAATGGCAGAGAATTGACGCCTTTCTCCTTCTACAGTCATGACCCCATATGACTTTTAAAAGCGTCTCTTAATAAAGCCTTTTTACATTTCATAAACACATCAAAACACGGCGTTCCAGTTAAAATGGCGGAGCTGGCAAAAACAAAAATGTGTAAGACTCAAATCCTGTGAAAACCGTCTTTTAATGAAAACTGAACCATGTCAACCATTCAGTCAGTGGGAAAAATAGACATTTCAGTCTTAGCACTGTGTTCAATGTGTTAAATATTGTAATGACTTCGGTACGTATTTTTAAACGTTTAACCAATAATGCTTAATTAAGCGCGCGTATTAAGCAAATGTGTATTTTAGAAATGAACAGCTTTGTGTTTCATTATACCCTCAGCGTCAAAATGCTCCAGTTCGAGCAAAGACACTAAAAGCCAGCGGTTCTCCTAAAGCGTCGCCGTCAAAATCTACGACCTTATATTAAGAAAATGATTGATTAATTAATTTGAGGTTGTAGATTATTTCCGAACTGAAATTTGTCTTACCAGCACTGATCTCCTGCGGCTCCGCTTCTATGAGTGCGCATGCGCGGAGCCTCTGTACAGTCACCGCTGAACCGAACAGAAGACTTGAGCGATAATTCAACACTTCCACTCTGATGCTCCTCCATATGTGGGAGAAAAACCCGGTGTACAATCGATCACACAAAACAAACCGCAGCTGTTGTCGATTTCAACGTTTATATGAAGACACACCTGCCGTTAAACCACCTTTAATATTTCCTATCGAATACACCAGTACTTCAGTTTAAGCAGTTATTACATAATTAACAGGATGTAGGACACGTCAATACTGCAGTCAGGTTCCTTTTAATCGGGGGAAAAACAGCCATCACAACAGTATTTTTTGCTTTAAGATCTTTAATCAAACATTTAGTAAAAAAAAAAACCAAAAAAAAAAAAACCAAAAAAAAAAAAAACCAAAAAAAAAAAAACCAAAAAAAAAAAAAACCAACTTGTCAGATCCCATCTGAATGCAGAAAGATACAAATTGATGCAACAAGATGGAGATGGTGGCTGTGTCGTAAGAATCGGATGTTCTGTTAGAAACCCAAACTATAACATTTGGCATTCAAAGGACTGCAGTTCTACCACATATACCTTAACTTAGCACTTCGCTTAAACCTGACATGAATCAAATTAAATAGCAATTCATGATTCAATGTTGCAAAAAAGACAGTCTTGAAAGTGACCAATTTCTTGGGGAAGATGGGTCTTTAACGTACATCCTGCTTGAGGCTACAAAAATGGTGAACCTATGTACAAGAGGATAAAAAGCTTAATACATCATAAGGTGATCAAACATGAAATGGAAAATTGTTTTTCCCCCTGAACATTAGGTTTCAAGCTTTTACATCCTTTACATTTTGCCAGACAACATCAACATTGATGGCTTAACAAAGAAAGCTGAGTTATACTTTTCTCCAACAACCATGCAGTTTGAATTTGAAACCAATACCTGGTGATGCAGGCTTTAGAAATGAACACAAAATATGAACCAAAACATAGCCAATTTGTTGGTAAGAATAGAAAATTCACTATACTTTCAAACTATTAAAAGATTTTGATCTGTGTACATGTATCCATGCTTACAGCATGCGTCCTTGTTCCAGTTGTAATTGAACAGCCATTAAAAACCATATAAAGGAAAAATAGCATACTTGTAAGAGAAAAGTAGAGTCTGGAAGCATAAGCCAGCATGACGACACTGCTCACTATTTACAGCAAAGGGATTGAGCTCTGCAAACAGAGAACCCCCTCTAGACAAACACTAATCCTGAGAAGCTGATCTAGACCTTGAACAAGATCTTGAGCGAGACTTTGAGCGGGAGGCAGATCGCTTCTCCCTTGAATGAGAGCGCCGGTCGTCCTGTCGTGGGTATGGAGATGGGGAGCGGGAGGCAGACTTGGTAGTACGCTCCACGATTCCGTTCTCCATGGGGGAGGCCGAACGACTACGAGACTTCTTTTCAGTGGACATTTCCTTTGATCGGCTACGAGAATCACGCTCAGATTTCACCTTAGATAGACTTTTCGAACGGGATTTGGATTTTCGGTCACCTGAACGAGATCTGGACTTCATGGAGACAGAGCGAGATTTGGACTTGTGAGATCGAGAGCGTGACCTGCGGTTGCGAGATTTCCTTTCTCCAGATTTGGAGCGAGACTTTCTTCCAGAAACTGAGCGAGAATACCGGCGCCTTTTGTTACTAGGTGAACGAGATCTGAAAAAGAAACACGTTGTGCTTAGATATAAATGGTATATAGCCAAAGCAAACTTTTATAGCTCTTCGTTAGATGACTCCTCACCTGGAACGAGACCTGGAGCGGCTCCTAGAGCTCCTGCTGCGAGATCTGCGGTGGTGACTCCGTGATCTGAAGTTAACAAAACACAAACACTTCTTTATTAGCAAAAAAAAAGAAACATCTATGATAACAGTTTAAAAGTGTGTCAACAAAACAACAATTTTTCCAGCGTTGCACTTAAACTACCGGGAACGGCTTCCGGAGTAAGATCTTCGTCTACGGGGGCGATCTTCCACCAAACGAATCTTTCTCCCATTAATATCTGTTCCATCAAGTTTGTCCAAAGCCCGCTTCATGTCCGACTGAGAACGGAATTCGATCACTCCCTCATTGGTGCGCTCCTTGTGGGCATCTGCATAGGTCACTTCTCCAGCCTGGCGCATGAAGTCCTAATAGACAAACATTTTCTGAGTATTTGATGAAGTCTTTGCCTTTAATCAGGAGTAGGATGTAACCAATTGGTCTCAATATTTACCTTCAGGTCTTGCCAGCTGCATCGACTAGACAAATTCTCAACAATAAGCCGGTACTCTGTACGGACTGGGGGTCCATACTTATCCCTGCCGGTGCGACTGCGGCTGCTATAACCTCCACTACCTTGAAAAACAAGTTAACTTTAAGTTAGACATTGAAAAAGTGGCCATGAAACCAATAACCACTGCCACAGAATGTAGTGACTATAGTTTTCAATCCAAGGGGTGAAGATTTGAACTCAGGATTTCCATTAACACCCTTTTATAACAAAACATAAACTGTAAATAAGCCACCACTGTGGCTCCCTAAATTTCAATTTAACAGCATGTCAAACTTGTGCACTGCTCCAAAGAACACCACTGCATCTGTTTTCGGTAATACAAGCTTGTCTTAGTCCCATAAATCTTACTGGTGATTTAGATGCATAAACAAATGGGCAGTGATGTTCTTTCAAGACCTCTGAATCCTGTAAAACAAAAAAGGAGGCATCCGCACAGGAGGGTTAAAGCCACTAATAATCTGAAATAAAGTGGTGTAAAGAAAAATCTAAACCAATCTTTTTGTATTTTCCATTTGAATGTCATCAGTTTTGTCTTTGCACTTACAACATTGTTTTTGTTTGTAAGTTCTTTCTTTACAAGAGCCGATCCGCTTACGTTTGCTGTCAACATAGAAACCAATGGCAATCCTCACCATCACCCCTGGTCTATTGGCAAAAGGCTGATGTCATCATGGCTTCCGGTTAGGTCAGCCAAGGATCAAGGGGGGGCAAAGGTCACACACACATTGTAAGGTGAAAGCCAAGGCCAAACGGGACAGGCAGTCATCTTAGCCAGTCATCTTTAGCCTCAATGGACTCTCAGCCTCAGCCCGCAACTGGACTCTTTCAAATTGAAACATTAAGGACTTGTTAATGTAAAAATATATATTTATACCAAAGTCAGAAATACACATTTCACAGTCAAGTCTCTCTCGCCTTGATGTTCAAACCAAAAACTGCATGGGGTAAGTGTATGCTGATACCCATTAAAATTTAGGAAATAAACTTAAAGTTTGAATCTGATAATTAACTGCCAAATTCACAATAGTCAATGGAAAAAAGTTCACCATTCTCAAATCTGTTTCCAGGGACTTTTGATACTGTTAAAATATATTCCCATCATTTTATATACAGTATGTGTTCATTCACTTTCCAATCGGACATGTGCAGCCTATAAGGGAGCAGAAAAAACAAACAAACTTGCAGGTCAACAACCTTTCATTTTGGGAATTGAGTACAACCATTAGTGCCTAGTTGTTACTCAATATCGTAGGTTGCATATCGAAACATGCTTCAAAATATGCCCATTTATCGTGACCGGACTCTTGGCAAATTAAATGCACCTTAAACCTTTACCAAAAAAAAAAAAAAAACGCCAGGAGCTACTGTGAAATCAGTCTCCAAACTTGTAGAACACTGAACACGTTCTATTCGTCATTTAATGAACGTCATTGCACGTTGAGGCTATTGAAGGTGACTGCATGAACTGAACAACGTAATAACAAAAATATAGGTTTTAAAACAATTAGACTCCTTAGAAAATACCTTTCCTATTCCTATGGTCGACGGTTGCGGGGCTTGGGAGTTTGTCTATGTTGCAAAAGTTTTAAAATAACTCTATCCATAAAAAAGTCCACTTTAGTCAATTCCTTCGATGTGTAATTGCAACCAAAACATGCCATCGAGTCGGAAAACGTGGTAACGGTCACAGTCCTATGTCTGCGCTCTCGCAAATCAAGTATAACTGAAATGTTAAAAAAACAGCATAGCCATGAGGTGCAAGACATCGCGACAAATCTCTGCAGTCCACATTGACGCCTCACTCCAGGGAGCAGGGAAAGCGGGCATCTTGGTGTGTGCTNNNCTTGTTATAGACTGCACTTACTGCGCCCACCACCCATGTAACCCCCACCATGGTAGCCATCTCGGTCTCTCCGCGGGCCTCGGGCATGTTCGACGATCACTCGCTCTCCGCACAGTTCTTTTCCGTTTAGTTCGTACACCGCATCATCGGCGTCCCGGTTATCTTCAAATTCCACAAATCCATACCTATAGGAAAAAAAGTTCAATCAAGAAAATTATATTCATGCAGATATGATATGATTCAGAACCTGTGCCAATGCCACGTGCAGTAAACGTATGGCTTCTTCGTTCCTACTAGATAGCACGGCCTGCTAGCATTGCACTAGCAAACACAACGGCGCCATGTTTCCCATGCTTACATTAGGAAAACACTCCATAAATGCAAACCACCCAATTAAATCAAATTATCTAATTTTGTTTATAAGCAGAAAATAAATAAACAACAGACCATGCAAGGATTGGTCGATATGTTAACAGAATAGGATTTCTGAATGAGCTCGAAAAGTTCGTGGTTTCTAAGGTTGCGTAGTTTCCATCGTGCAAGGAGGCTAACGGATAATCAACTCACCCATTCTTTAAGTCGATTTCCATGAGTTTTCCATAACCACTGAAAAACCGCTGGATGTCTTTTTCGCGGACATGATAGCTCAGTCGTCCAATATACACCCGAGGCATGTTTGTTTCACACTCGAGATGCAAACGTTAAAGACTCTTCAGGACAGCACACCGTTATCGATGTCAACTGAACAAGCGCGAAGAGTGAAAGGCTAATTGTTAGCTCCTCTAACAGGATACAGCCTGCGACTGTGCTGAATGAGCCAATGAGCCTCGATTTAGAGGTCGACTGCTGCTTGTGATAAACGTCAAAATAAAAGCACCGGTTTGGCCTTTAGTGTTTGCAGTTTGTATAATGGTTAGTAGTTCCGTCTGATAGGCAGTTACGACAATTTGCGCCGGAGTTCTGCTTTTATCCGCTTTAAAGGATCAAAGATAATCTCCCTTTTCTTTGTAAATGTTACCTTATTTACATAAATCCCCTTTAACTGTTTCCTGAATGCTCGCGCAACCTGTAGGGTTTTTTAAACATATTTTGTCTATTTTTTTTTCTGTACGTTAACTAATTGTCCCAAAATTAGATAATTGGCACATTGCCGTCAGTTCAGTATATATTTTTAGTTATTTAAGGTACTTTCAGGAATTTCTCCTTAAGCGTCATATCCTATGTTGACATATATTACCACGTGTTATTAGCATTCTATCTGCTCACGGTTCTCCATTTACAGTACTGATCTTCGTTTTTCCTCTACTACATAATTAAAGCATCCCAATGACTTCATTTTACCACAAAAAACAGTGTGATCTGCCTCTCACTTTCTTCGGCAAAATTAAGCATAACTTCTTCACAACTGACATCACTGTAATCTGTTATAATCAGCGGGCATGAAGCCAAAACATTCCCTTGCTTTATGCAGTAACAATAAGCTCAACCATGTAGGAAACAAAAATCAAATGCACACCAACTGTCCTATTCAAACCCACAGAAACAAACAAAGAAAGAAAGCAAAACATCAAAAACACAACAATAAACTTTGAGGGCACAGTAGACACATAACAATTTCACCATGAATGAACTTAGTGCAGTTGTTAGCATCATAGCACAAACTGTATTAGAATAAACACCAGAGCACAGTAATTAAGATAGAGAGAGAAAATGGTTTGTGTAAAAAACTCAGTTTTAAAATGATTCCAGTCAGACTTTCTCTTTTATTTTTTTTTCCTCCAAACCACAAGAGAACAAACATTACATGTTCAATGCTATTAGACTGAACTTGAAATGAAGGCTAACCTGTGCAGTAAATGTTTCAATCACAGTGGAAAATTGCAAATTTTGAGGTTGGAAAATGGCAATAGTTCAGGTAAGATGCTCTTTTAGACAGTTCTCGAGGAGCCAACTATTTTAACGTTGAGCAACTGAGAAAATTGTGCATTCAAAGTTCTCAAGTTAAGGAGCTAAAAACACACAACTGCTCACAGATGTTTCAGCAGCACTCACATACTTTAATTTCAGTTTGTCTCACTTATAACTTCTATAAGTCTTCCATTTGTTAACCCATGTAATTCAAGAATTTTGTACTAAAAAAAAATATCCAAAGGCTTGTTGTACAAGCTGCTCACTCAGAGGTTGAGAAGCTTTGGCAAAAAAATATTTCAGGAGCAGATTGTGATTCCGGGCCACTCTAGAAACAAATAATTCTGAGCCTGAGAATAAAGAAGTAGCTGTGAGACACAGGGTTATGATCAACAGAAAATGCCCTGCATGTTTTCAAATTGTTGCTTTGTTAAAAAATAATTTTCCTACCTAAAGCAATACTCACACTTGGCGTATGTAATGTAGAAGAAGAAATGAAGGATTCAAGCCACGTTAAAATAGACTGTTTACAAGAATCAAGAATCAGAGCAAATGAAGAAAAGAAAAAAACCTAAAGGATTTGGAGGGTTGATCAGCTAAACAAATCAAATCCAAGAGTGTATGTGGTACACATCATCTGCCCATGGTGCTTGAATCCCATCTGTCAGCTGTAGACACTCTCTCACTCCCTGCCTGGTCAGGCCACGACAACTAAACAACAGCCAAACCCTCCTGCAGTTCGCTTCAGAGAGTCCTTTTAGCAAATCAAGGGGGGGCATCCGATCCCCGCATCAACCTTTCTGAGAAAAGGGGGATACCGAGAGAGGAGGGGGGAGTGCGGTATCCACGGTCTTCAGTTGGCTTTGGCGCGAAGCTGCGCCCTCTTGCCCGTCACAGCCTGGAAACCGGTCTTGATGCTGGCGACTGAGCAGCGAGAGTGACAGGTCTCACACTGCAAGAAGTAGAGACGAGTGTCTTTCTGCAGGATAGTGTCTGGAGAGCGGCAGGTGTGACACGTCACGTATTCCTCTGCAGGAGACAACACAGGGATTAGTGAACAAAAAGTGCAGGCTTTCAGACTAAAAATAAAACATGAGCAGCATCGCATCTTGTCTTTAAGAAAAAAACAATTAAAAAATGAAAGACATTTTTCCATTTTTAGACAGTGTTTCTACAAAATAAAATCCACTCACAGAGCTGACATAATGTGTTAAAAAGTGATTTGTTTGCACAGCAGAAAAGTACATTCCAACTTACTGATATATCTTCTCAACACATTTTCTATTTGTTTCTGTTGAAATCTGCCTTTAATGACGAGCTGGTTGTTTCCGTCTATGGAGCCACTGCACAAAAGGGACAAAATGTAAAAACAATAAATTTATGAAAAAACATTTGAAATTATGCTTTCAGGTTAATTTACAGTCTTGTTCTTTTGCAAACCTTAGCCATAGTGTATAAACAAACATACCTTGTACCCAACTCAGCCAACAGGAACGCAAGAAGATGTTTGGGTTGACGATGCAAACTTCAAAGAAGGAAACGGAGGTACAGATTTAAGAACTGTGCAGGAGGATGGACATGAACCAACTTTGATAGGAACAACTTGAACAGAGAGACTCACAGTTTGCAGATGTCTGTGAAGTTGACAAAGGAAGTTTTCTTGGTTCCCACTCGGACCACCTGCGGAGGCTTCATCACAAATTTCCTCTTCTCTCCAGCTACCATGTCTGGGTTCTTCTCCCTCATGATGTTGAAGACTCTGTTCAGGAGCTGAAACAAAGGTTGCGAGGATTACATCAGTGATCGCAAAATGTTACTAAGTTAGGAGAAGACATGATATTAGGGCCATTTTGGGAGCTCTGCAAATGAGGATGTAAACTCCTACAAGTGTGAATATTACATTTGTTTGTAATGTTATGTGTCAAACAGTAATAATCAAGCCCACAGCAAGTGTGTTAAAAGGAGAGCAGAACCAAACTATGCCACTCAAACTGTACTTTTACTCACAGTCACAGAAGACGACCTACCTCATCAAAGGTGTAGTCCCTTTCTGTGCCGGCCCAAGCTGGTCCCGTGGATGAACTAAATGAGATTCCATCATTGTTCTTTCCGTCATCGTCTTCTAGCGCTGCAAAGACATCATATGCATAATTACTGCAGGTGTCTTTGTTTTCACAGTGTTAACAAAAAGGAAAGGACATATTCTTACCCTCATCCTTCTCCAATGTCTCTCCCTCGTCAAAATCAACCTTCTTAGTTTTTTTCTTTTTGGTAGGAAGCATCAGATCCAGGTTGTCCTCCTCTAATGCCTCTGTCTGTTCCCCTTCAATTTTAAGCTCCTGGTTTGGATCCACAAAAAAGCAGTTTATCAGACAGGTGGTGGTTTGAATAAATACATTCAAAACAACAATCATTGGGTGTGTAGTGTGAAGAGAGTTTATGGGTTACAAGCCTAAAAGTCAAGACAAAGGACTTTGATAAAATAAAAAAATGCATTTATAAAATCGACTTATTTGAAAGTAACTGACCTTTATTCCTTCTTCAATCTCATTTTCAAATACTTTTTTGGGTTTCTTCTTTTTTTTCTTCTGGTTGAAGAAGTTGAGGTCATTTAGATCATCAGATGTTTCTGGAGGATAATATATTAATATCAATAATAATAATGACAACCACATCTTTGAGCTCTAGAAATAAGGTGCAACTTTTACAAACCTTTCTTTCTGCCTTCATCTTCATCCATATCCACCTCCTTATCTTCTCCAACCTCTGGTTCTGCCTCCTTCGTCTCAACCTCTTTAGTCTCCTCTCCTCCTCCAACCCCTCCTACGCCCTCTCCACCTTCTTCATCCAGCATGAAAGGCTTCTTCTTCTTCTTCTTTTTCTTGGTCATATTAGGATCAAAAATCATCTGTAGAACATAAATAAAACCAAAAAAAAAAAAATCATATTGAATGTTAACAGTGCACACCTCGGACTCATTCTTTACATGAATATTTGCAAGTTTCAGTGTAATCGGAGCATTATTACCGTCATTAAGATTATATCAATATAGTGAAATGGTGTTTAAAAACCAAATCCAGATGTGAACTTCTGCTGTCAATGTATTATTATCCCAAAGATTTGCTGTCACCTTTGTATGAACTATTCCTAATCGAATCACAAACCAAAAAAAAAAACATCTACTGTCTAGTTAGGTTATCAGATGATCTGATAGGTTTATATGCCTTTACAGGAAACATTGTCATGGGTGGTGGCTGACACAGACTATGAACATCTCTACTATCGTCAACATTCGATGTTTATATGGAATGTGAGGGAAACTTACAAACATGTCAATATGTTAATTGACAACGTGACCTAGTCTTAAATCAGGTTTATTTTAGAGTAAAAATAACTGTCAAGTACAAAAATGGCAGAATCAAACCTAGCTAGTCTTTGTCACTCTGGGTTAACGTCGGCGCCGTAGCTCAAGAGGAGTAAGCTAATGCTAAATAGCTAACCTGTGTTAAAGAATATTCCAGTACAAATGACTGTAATTGTTAGGGTGGCACTCATGCATTACATACATTTAAACGTTCAGCGTATAATGGCAGGAATCCATTTGAGAAATATTTGGTCATCATAGCCTGATGGGACCGTCTTAAATTAAACTGAAGCCATGTGAGAGTTGCTGCGGGTAAGGAGCGGAGAAGCCGCGCCGAGGCCCAAAGTCATCGTTTACTCGCCATCCGCCTCAATTACTCACACAAATTCAACTAAAACGGAATCAACATTGTCAAAAAGGGAATGAGACCCAATACACGGACACTTACCTCGTCTCCGGACATGTTTGCGGCTTAAAAGTGGACGTAAAATCGGCTACTTTTTATCTCACTATCACGAACCACACGTTGGGCCGAAATTTTCTTGCATCAGCGGTGGAGTTGCAGGACGCGAGGGTGACGTCAACAAACGTTGACGCGATTGGTTCGCGACGTTCCGGTTGATCTGTATTCGCGAGAAACACTGGTGCGTAACTGATGTGCAGTTATTGTTAGGACTTATCTATCTGGAAGTCATTACTGAAATAAGATTCTAAATTACATTTAGAAAAATATCATTATAACAAACCTGTGTTGCATTGCATTTAATGTACATTTCTATGATATATGTATATCTCATTTATTATGTAAACAATGCAGGTTTAATATAATATATATTCTGTACAAATATAATGACCAATTAACTGATAAGTACCTGGATTGTAATATGGACATACGCACATAGTCACGCTGTACTGTATATATTTGAGAATTTAAATTGCTTTTTTGTGAAATTCTGTTATGTGTTCTTTTTATGTTTTTGATAAAGGCATTTGGGTTTATGTATGCTGAATTAAAATGAAATGTAAGGAAAGGAAAGGAACGGAAAGTGAACTCCTTGTCATTGTGACATTGTGAGACACATCACTGGACACAACAAAATCGAGTCCGCTTCCTTAAACACTGCCCCAATGAATTATACATTAAAGTTACAAGAGACAATATTCCATAATACTTGGCAATACTTAAAAACCTGACAATTCCATTACAGCAAAAGAACTGAAATCTTTTAATGAGGTTGCAAAGAATATAACCTCTGTTGGATAAATAAACACTGAAATGCCAACATGCTTGTCTATCCATTCTTGTGTGTTTCTGTTTTTTTTTTATGTAAAAAGGTTTTACATACATGGCTTTGAAAAACTAAAGAATTTACCTCTCACAACTATGAAATGCTGATGTTTAAACTAGCTTGAATCAAATCTCCTAAAATTAACTTAATCTGGAACTGGATGCAATTAATAAAGTGTCACAATAGTTCATCATTATTAATAGTGTTCTTCAATATACAGTTTGAAACAATAAGACCTTTATGGAAAAAAACATAAACATTGGTGATGGATGAAAATGTCTGGCTGTTTATCTTTGTAGCTGCATGTTGCCATGCATATTGTGATTTCCTGTTGTTGCATGCTTGACACAACCTCAACGTAACTTCTTAGCGACGGAAAAAGTACAGTACAGTATATAAAAGAGAAACATTTGGAATATTTACATCAAATCACAAGGACCACTGGTTCAAACGATATGGACAAGCACGTAGCCTGAAATAAAAAGAAAAGGTTCAGATACGGGCAAACAAACAGCCTCTAACGTCTTCACCCTGCACATGCTCATGTTTTCTCCAGTCAATAGAGCAGTTAACAACAAAACAAGGTACACAAATAATTAATGTATTAAAATAAAATAAAAACATAAGGAAAAAACAAAACCAACAACATCAAAAACACAGGTAAATACTTCAGCCAGGTATGGATATTTGAGGAATAAACTTCAACTGTCATACAGCAGCATCCTCGAGGAAACAGTCCGCAAACAAAGACCTGAACACAGGTGCGTTACTTCACCACAGAGCTCATATACGAACATTAACACATCTGAACATGAGCTCCAAAGGTGTTAAAAGGCTCTGGCCAATTAGGTGGACCATGAAATGTTGGGATCCGACTGAGGTCATGGTTAAAACAGTGAGGAAACTTTTAGAATGTCAGTACAATGTCAGTGCGTTTAATAGGAAATTACGACTCATTTGTAGTAAGCAATGAGGGCTTTTCTAAATTTAAGTGCTGAACGGGACCCAGACAGTGGTTTTATAGCTTTCTGCCTCTTGTAGTGTTAAAATAATTTGACATTCAGATTTCCACAGACAAACCCAACCACACATACCGTCTCATCAGTCCTTCATTTGTTCCCCTTGTTTCATCATCCTTTCATAATGCAAGTACACCGTGGCAATGTACTGTAGCAGCCTTTACAAGGCTTCCATCGCCCAGCGCTGCAGGTCCTCCATGTCGTCCTTGTCCTCTTCTTTCTTGGCTTTGGGAGGAAAAACAGACAAAAAAACCTAAGATTTCTTTTACATATCATACACATTTCACCTCAGCCTAGGCTTCACAGCTGTCTATTTCAAAATAAAACATTCGCTTTTTTTTCTGAAGTTTTCTACCTGGTCTGGATGGTAACGAGGTTGAAGGCACGTTGGGGAGGGGGACGGTCTCTGGTCCACCGATGTCCAGCAGGTTTTTGTCCAGCTGCTCCTGTTCCAGCTCATCCAACTCTGCGAGCAGCTCATCCTGGCAGAGACAACAAAAACAATCAATACTGCAGTGCAGAAAAACACACGGTCAGTTGAGCAACAGATAAAATCCAACCGATCTGATACTAAAAAAAGGCAACGTGGATACAAATGTTTCTTTTACGTTCACAATCAATAATGGGATAGTAAATTATTGGATGTCAGGACACTTGGTCAACAGTAAATGGTCTATTTTTATGTAGTGATATTTTAGTCATGAAGTGCTTTTCCTTTCACCCTTGGAACATTTCTATGAAATGAGTTTACTCTGAATAAAGAGGAAGAAGCACAGAGGTCAGCAGAGGTGAAGAGCTGAAGGGACATAATGACTACATCCAACAGGACAGGGGACAATCCATAACTTCAGGTGTCAATTGCTATCATTTCCAAATTTAATGATAAAAAAGGTTTAGTCAGTTGCAATAACTGAAAATAAAAGATGAGGAATGGATTTGGAATTATAATAAATATCTAGTAGGAACCACAACGCTGTAAGGATAATCCAACTGACCTCATCAAATTCCTCTCCATAGCCGACTGGTTTGGAGATGATGTCAGAGATTTCTTGAGCTATCTCATGCTGCTCTGTGATGTCCTGCATCAGGTCGTCTACTTTGTCAATGTCCCTGAAACAACGAGAGCAAGAAGAGAAAACACACTAAACCACTTATGACACGGAATAATAAGACTTCACATTTTATGGCTCTAACCCACAGCAGGTTGAAGATAATGTACATTTGAGCCCAGGTCCTGCTCAAGAGCCACCTGGTTCCCAAACAGACTGTGGAAGAACCCCTTAAAATCAAACAGTAAAGGAACCTTACAAGTTTTCATGAGCAGATTTGATGGCCTTGGCAGCAAAGCCCATGTTCTTGAGAACTTCAGTGTTGGTGTTGGCGTTCTCCAGAGCCTCTCTCTGGAACTCAATGGTAGACAGTGTTCCATCAATCTGGTCCAGCTGCTTCTCGTACCTCTTCTTTCTTTTCAAAGCCTGCAGAGCCGCTGAAGACAGAGAGACAAGGGGACAAAAGTCAGGACTGTCCCAAAACCCACGGAACGGGACAGACTTCATTCACAACAGAGAGGATTAAAAAAACTCAAACAAATGAGTCACCTGACCACAGCTACTGATCCACACACCTGTAGGGCTGACACTGAGATGTCACACCACATCAGGCTGGAGTGACTCATTGTTACCATGCAAGTAGATACAAAAATTTACCCTTAATCTGCTGTGCAAAAGATTCTCCTGCTTTGAGCGCTTCGAGGGAAGCGGTGGCTTAGTGGTTAAGGAAGTGGACTTGGGTCCGGACGCTTCAGGTTTGAGTCCACCAGTTTCCAAGATACCACTGAGGTGCTCTGAGCATAACACCATCCCCACACACTGCTCCCCTCTTAAAGCTGCCCACTGTTCACATATTGTTGTTGTATTTAAGGTGATGACGCCAGTTAGCTTCAAACGACTGAGTTCCATTGTTGAGTCGATCGGGAAACATTTATCATTTAAGGTAAACTGATACCTTATTCCTTTAATCTCTCCGTCCATGTCGGGTGCTTTACATTTCACACACACACACACTTTCCTCTGTTCAACTTTGACATGTCATATGCTCTGCCTGCTCCCTCAGGGGGTTAACACAGTGGATCATCTGCCTGCACCTCACCCCATCCCTCCCCTCCTCTACTGTTACACAAACCATTCATGTCTCATGGGTGTCATGGCTACAACCACTCTCCTAAAATAACAGCAGAGATGGTGAGAGGTTTTCTCTTACATAAACAGCGTATGTTTATTTGATGTGAAATATTTTTGCTAGTATAACACCGAGGACTGTCAATCGATTTAAATTATTAATCTGGTTAATTACAGGATAGCTGTTGATTAATCACAATTAATCTGAGGTAAAGCAAATTTATTAGAATAACCCAAAAAAATCCATCAATTGTGTGACTTTAGTTAACCTAAATGACGGCCCATGTGATTACACTGTTTTAATTCGAAGTTTTTAAGAATTTTTTTTGACAAAACTTAGTACAAAGTGGTGAGAAACGTCCCATCCTTATCTAACCAAACCCTTAGCCTTTTGTCTGCAGTCTTCAAATTCGTTTGTCATACAAAAACAAGTCGAGATGTTCTATCATATAGCCTTTACTATCGTTTATCAAATACTTCTTATGTTATTATTGATAAATTAATCTTTTTTTTTTCTACTTACTATTTTTTTTTTACATTCATATCTCCCACTTGTATCTCACACCCAGCGGTGGGAGCTGCAGTCGCCCTGAAGGGTTCAGATCAAACCAGTGACCAAAGGTGAAGACACGCCCACCTCTGGTACTGCAGCTCCTGACACTATCCTGACATTATCTGTATAATCTGCAGTAATACATCTGACTGCAGCCTTGTCGCTTTGCCACACCTTTATCTGAGACCTTTGACTGTTTTCTAATTAATATCAATCACTTACACACAGGCTGAGCAAAGACGCTGACGCTCTGAAAAATATGAACGACACTAATCAATAAACAAATTAAAACACAGACAACTAAACTACTTAACAGTGGCCATGGAATAGATGCTGGTGTATACGTTATGAACTAAATTTACGTAGCTAGCCGATGCAGCTAACATGCTAACGTGTAGATTTAAGGCATTGTAAGATGACAGTTTTAAATTAAAATAAATAGAGACAACGATGTCCGCACCTCGCTTATTTTTCGTCCCGTTCTTCTTAGCGATCTGCAGTTCCTGCTCGATCTTCTTCTCCAGGAATTCTTGTTTCTTCGTTAGCATCTCCTCCGTCTCCCGGAGTTTCTGGATCGCTTCTTGCGGACTCGGTCCCTTTCCTTTGCCTCCTCCTCCAAACAGCTTCCCGAACACCGACATGTTTTACGATGGTGAAACACACCCTTTACGAAGATAAAAAAAACAACTTCTAGAGACTCCCGTGTTTCGCTGCCTATTTGCTGCTGATGCTGGATTAATGTGACACTGTCAACCCCAGTCTGAACCTCTGGATTGTTGATGTTTTTCTACTTCCTGGAAAAGGCCAGATGACATCATGTTGCCAATGACGAGTGGGAGGCGTTTGTTACCTCTATCGCCACCTTGTGGAGGAGTGCTGCGTTTTTCACCATCATTTTCACATCTAATTTCCTTTTAAAATAAAAAGCCTTACTTTAAAGAAGAAAACCACAGTAGCTCAGTGATATTTTTTTTAAACTCATCCTTCAAACTGTTGAGTCCATGACGTATTTTTTCTCCCCTTTTTGCTATATTTTTAGGATCAGCTCATCAACTCTTCTTCTTCTTATAGAACATCAGCAAACATCTGGCCAGCTCTGTGGGTACAGGTGGATGTTCACAAAATGCAGAGAGTGGATTAAGCGCCAAGAAAGAAAAGGTTAGGTTAGTCATTCACGTTGATTCAGTTACCACGCGAACCTGAAACCTTCTGGTGCTCAGCTGTAAGTTTCAGGTGCGCACCAGAAACATGTATTTATTTTCCTATAATTACATTAGGCTATGTTGAACAACTACATATGCAAACTGCGTTGGACCTAGAAAAAAAAAACTATTACCACACTTACAAATCATTGTTGTAAAGAACACATTTTTATGTTAATTGTAGCCAATATGAAACATTTTTGTTAACTTTACAAGTTTAAACTAAACTATTTTCAGGCCACAACATTAAAAACCAATATCAAATAACATGAATAGGACATTAAACACAGCTGGGGTTTATGTATTTTAATTGATTATGGTGCTACATGATTCATGGTGGTTGTTTATGTTTTGTCACTACAGCATGTTAATAACTTTGCAATTTGTCTTTATTAGCCTTCATTGTATGTACATATAAAAGAGTATCCAATTACTGTGTGATTACATTACGGTTTGTATCTCTGCTTGTGTTCTCAGATGATGACGATGCATTTATTCATTTTTTTTAATTCTATGACGTAGTGTGTATTCACAGGTCAGTCCTCCTCCCAGCTGACATCATCTCTGCTCCTTCGAGCAACACAATAGTATCTGAATCATTAATATTTTTATTTCGAACAACAAATTTCACAGAGGGAAAGTGACGTGCTGACCAAACTGTCTCCTCAGTTAAACTCACAACCTACAAGTCCAACAGGAAACACAAGAAATCAAACACACACAGACCCACTGACAGATGTTTGACAAACTCAGCATGGTTCCTTTAGAAGCCCCTAGATTTTTGATGTGATTGAAAAAAAAAAGAGAATAAATGCAGGGACAAGTGGATAAACTCAATATAGTATATAATTTAATATTCAGAAAGGTGTTGTGGCTAAATGATAAAGGGAAAAAAGCAAACGGATGATATACAAAAACAACTGAAGTGTTGAATGGGCAAAAGCTGCAGACAATGTTTTTTGTATTAATTGTTGTTTCCCTCCAGTATGTTACTATAATGTGGAAAAACCTGAATTTGTGGAATATCAACTGACCAAAAGGTCTGGTCAGGAAATGACATTAAAATAAGTTATTAGTGAAGTATGTTGTTTTTTATATGAAATTTATTTTGGTAAATTCTTCCTTTATCCTGACCATTCGCCCTCTCTTTATGAACACGCACACGCACGCACACACACGGCTTGTACTGGCTTACAGTTTTACCACCTACTGTTTATAAGACAACACACGGAGTCTGTGAGTTTAAGGAAGTCTTTCACTGTTCACCTCTTACAGATCATCAGTTATATGTGGAAGAGAGATTATCAGCAGAGGAAATGAACTCAGAGACTCAAGAATCAAAGACGACAACGTCAGATATTCAGCCAGCGCGAAGCTACTTCTGCACAACACTAACTGTGACCTGTGCATGTTTGACAGATCATTTAGGAAGAAAGAGTAGACGGAAAGAACAGATCAGAGGCGGTGATTGACTCGGAGAGGAAAAAGGCAAGAGCTGCCGCAAAAATGCTTGCAATCATGGTTTCTGCCCGCCTTCCTTTGTTTGCTTTTTTTATACATTATATTATTTCCCATCAAGACAATATCTTACCATATTACCTTAAAGGTTAAAAAAAAGAAAAGAAAGAGAATCAACATAAACCCAGAAGAAATCCCTGTTGCTGTAGCTGACACGTCACGAGCACGCCGTCCATCCATTGCTCTGCTTCTGTCCATCTGTGTCTCTACAGGGCCAGCTTGCCAATGATGACTCCAATGACAAAGAAGAGCACGCAGAGAGCCAGGACGCGGGTGTTAAGGCCTTCGTCCCTCACCATTGAGGACACCATGGCAGAGGAGTGAGGAGCGGTCATCGATGTCACCTTTCTCTTTCGCAGACCATCGTCCTCCTACAACCAAAACAAGACATTTCCTTTAGAACAGCAAAGGGATGTTTATTAGAAACATTTTTTCATATCAGATGAACTGAACAAGAAAATGCAGAAAATTATTCACTAGTTTGACCCACAATAAGGAGGAACCAGTGCCTGATAATATATTTGAATTCTTAGTTTGATGCTTTTTCAAATACACAGTTTTCCATGTTATTTGAACTGTTCTTGTGTCTGTCTGATGTTTTGGTTTCTCTATTTCAAAGATGGACCATTGTATTCCTGCTCCTGGCCTCATAGTATCTTCTGTTTAATATTCACTATGATTAGATGTCCATTCAAAGGGCAGTGCTTTCTCGTTAACAAACACAGCTCTGATTGGCTCCTGCTCATTCGTTCCTTCAGTTTACATGATGAAAACAGCAGATGATGCCAGATTTTTTCCTCTCGTTTTATCAGTTGTCTAATGCATCAATATGATGCTTCATCATTTAGCTCCACATAACTTCCGTTTTAGTTTGATAAAGTTTCTTTTTATAGAAGGTTGTTACTAAGACTGCACCAAAATTGCATGTCGACAAAACCCACACTGCTGGCTGCAGAAACAAACTCACCCTGATCTGTTTATTTTCTTCTCGTAGCCTCTGCACTTCCATCTGCAGCCGCTTGCACTCTTCCATGATCTTCTTCACCTCTCCGTCATCCAGCGAGGCACTGGCCGACTTGGGGAGCACAGAGTGTTCAGTCTTAACAGAGGAGGTAGAGGAAGACAAAGGTTTGACGCTTTCAATCTCATGCTGTGGAGAAAGCCGGGATGTGGGAGGGCAACAGAATGAGGAGGAAGAGGAGGAGAGGAGGAGACATGCAGAGACACGGCAGGAAGTGAGATGAAAATACAAACAAATCAATCAGAAATAAATAGAACATGTAATGGGAGATACACATCGATGTCTTGCTGATGGATACAGAACAGAGAAGGTACTGAACAGAGGAACCAAGGACATGTCCACTTTAAACTGTCCACTGAAGCTGAGACTCACAGTTTTGTCATTTTCTACAGGCATCTCGAAAGCACATCTCAATTTTGAATCCATCAGATCCTCGGGCTTCGCCTCCTTCCACTGTGGATGAAAATCATAAAAATGAAACTCTTGATTGAGGGCTGCAACTTTTTTGAACTAAAATAAATGACAGTATATGGTAAATATTTAATTTGACTCTGAGCCACACGGGGGAGGGTAGTTAGTGCCATCTCTTTACAGCAAGAAGCTTATTGTTGTAAGGGTTTGTGGGAACAAAATAACATAAAACTTTCAGTATGAGGTTTTAAAGATCCCCCATGAGTGTAGGGTTCTCTTCATGCGGTCTACCATCGTGGCCATTATGGCCTGAATTTAGTTTGGCAAAGTGATTTTTGAAAGGTGTGACTTGTGTTTTTTTTCCTGTCATTCTTCCTTTAACAAGCATTTCTGAACTTCAGCAAAAAATACATAAGTTTAAACAAGTACTAAAAGTAAGTAAAAACAAGTGTTTAAAATTGATCATTTTAAAAGGTTCAATTCCATGATCAGCTGGTTCACACAGAAAGATCTTTTTTGTTAAACTACAGATATATTTGCCCTGGTACTTACAACTCCCTCCATGTCAGTCGTGTCAGTCATGTATGGAGCCAGAATGGACTGCACCATGAATTTGTGTTTACTCTTTTCATTGGGATCGTAGTCGAATGGCTGCAGCATAACTGTGTAGACAAACAACGACATGATCAAAATGTTTTAATTTGTTAAAATAATCTACAGCACCAAGCGGTGATCCCGCCACACTTTACATACCAGATACATTGACTGAGCTTCCAGCGTCAATGATGCCACTGTTTGGGCGCACACAGTATCTGCGAGGTGCGGTTGTCTTGACTTTGAAACACACATTTCTATCTGTGGGGTTGGTGAGCTTCAGAATTGCAGTAACAACATCTGTGAACGGACCTGAAGGGACACAAAACATGCAGGTTTTAGTTGCTGCCAGATTCAGGATGTTCGTTCAGTGTTAGGAGTTTCACACTTAACAACTTTTGGAAAGACAAAAACAAAGGATTGAAATAGTCTGGCACAGACATTATAAAAGAGCAGGAACCCATGCAAGCAGAAATAACTACTATCAACACCTTGGTTGATATGCCTGTATGTGGGGCTGTGAATAAAGACATTACTGTCCACGCCTTTGAAAACGGTGCTCCACAGGTGCCAGAAAAGTAAGTTGTTATAAGTACATATGACATTTTTGTGGGACGATCAGTATTTACTCTTCACATAACAATATCAATCACAGCTGTTTGATTAAACGATGATCATATTATTTTAAAGAAACAATGTATTGAAGCTGACTTTTCATCTGTCACCTAAATTGCTTTCTGTTGCTCCCAGTTTAGAAGTGATTACTCTGTGGAATACAGAGCTGCGGCACCTGGTGCAAGCCCTCCATCTCAATGTCATTTTTGGAATTAACAAAACTGTCTTCGTTGACTAACATTTGACTCCAACAGACAGAATACAGAAATGAAGAGCAACCCTATGCTAAACACTTAAGAGGGAGAAAAGGAGGAGTTCAGAGGCAGTGGCAGCTCCATCACAGAAACTAAACAGGTCTGGGTTGCATTTATAAACCAGATATAAGGAAAAAAGAAACTCATGGTTTGGCTTATGGTGAACACATATGGTGTTGACATTTTTGAATGTATTAGTATAGTTTTGACGTCCGGTCTGTTGTCAGTAGTGTGGGCGTTTTCTGCAGAGCTGATCAGCACTTTGTTGACTCTGCAACCAATGATTTAAAACATTAAAACAGCCCAAGAATGCACTGTAGGATCATACATTTATTTTTACCATATCTTAAGTCAGTGCAATTTTAGGTGGAAATTAATTTTGGTAAAGAAGTGAGACCCTGAAGGTGGCAGAAATGTAACTAAGTACTTAATGCAGCATAGGCTGAAAGAAGAACTAATTGTTTGAGGAACCGATAGGTTTAATTCATGGCAGGCTATTCAACTTTGAATGAACCTATGTTGAGTTACAAAACAACATTTTAACATTATGAAATGTCGTGCAGCTGCTCTCTGGCCTGGTCTGTTAGTATTATTCCTTAACATGTCTGCCACTATTTGGCTTAAACACACCTGTCTAGTGCAGTTTTGATGTCCAATGGGCAAAAAGTATAAGGCTGCCCAAAGCAGCGCTCCGAGGGTACGATGTATGGTGTACGTTAAGTCAAATTCATTCAACATTTTACTTACGAGTGATTTACATGTCATCTATTCAGGCATTTTTCCAAGAAATATTACACCAACAGTCGGGTTCTTCCAACTAACATTATCTATGGTGTCAGCTTTACACATTTTCCAGTCGTTCTGCCTGGATACATAAAAATCTGCGAAGGAATGTGGAGTAATGAGAAGGAATTACAGGATTTGTAACAATGAGCAATATTGTGCAATCAGCCCGGTGATCAGACTCAGTAATGACACCCTGGTCGTAGAAATTGCTAGACTTGTTCCTTAAAGACAACCTGCAGTTGACAACAGCGACGCATTACTGGGTTTGTCGAATAAGGCACCATGGCACTGTCGTGTTCTGGATATAAATGAAGAATAAGAACAGTTTTTGGAGTTAAGAGTAAGAAACTGGATGATGGCCCTGTGTCGACGATGCAACGATGACAGCTTGCAGTTTTTACTTGCTAGCTGTTAGCTTGTTGCTAGTGAGTTGGCATCGTCGCACAGCGTCGTTTCACCAACGTCAGGCTGCAGCAGGTGGGACTAACTTCACTAAAAGTGTAAAAACGAGCACCAAGTGTCTTAAGGTAAAACATAAACCATGTGAATGACAGTAACAGGTTCTATGTTAACCAAAGAGCTACCACTCCGGCCTTTCGACTCCAGCGTTACCTCTGAATTTCAGTTCGTGTTGTGGCTCCAGCACCAGGACTTGTTCTGGTCTGGCCATGTCCCACAGCTTCTTCCTGTCTCGATGGCGAGGACAACAGTGGTTTACTGCAGGTAGAAGGAGAGGTGAAGCTACTGGCTTCCGGACAAGCAACTAAGCCGTCCACGGGCGTTCCGGAGGGAGGAGGGGGATTACAAACGCAGCAGCGCTCGGACTGGCTGGACGACTTACTGACTGCCACCGACAGCTGTGGAGGCTAACGGAGCTAGCAACGCAAGGTGCGATGGGAAGGAAGAGAGGTGACGTCACAGGGAAGGCAGAACCAGGGTGGGACGATTCGTAGCTCTGTTACAAAAACTAAACAGAGAAAATATCGATAACAAAAATAAAAATAGAACATGTCTATCACCTTTGAAGTTCACATTGGCTAGACCAGTATTAATCCAGAATACGGAGTCACTCCCACTATCACCTTTGAAGTTCACATTGGCTAAACCAGTATTAATCCAGAATACGCAGTCACTCCCACTCTGTCACGCAGTAGCTCCACCTGTGGGTTTGAGCTCCGACGTTTTCGTTAGTTTTTATTGTTAATACCAGGTTATGCTGTTCATAAATAACATGAATCTCATGTCTAAGTTTGAATTACCCTCCACCTTAATATAAAAACATAATTTGCTGCCTTTTCTTGTGCTGTCTTAAACGTGTTCATTATAATAAACCTGAATATTTAAGAAATTATTAACAAAGTCTGATTTAGTGGCTGTCCATTAACTGAAGTTTTAAGGAGGAATATTGATTGCAAACTGTAGCTTTTTGACTACTGCAGTGTCTGAAACATGTAACAGGGTTGTAATGGTTTTAAAAGCTCTACATTACTACAGTGTTCTCTTTAACATAATACAGAGAAGATGATCACATATTTACACCTGTAGCTCTGTCAACATCATTAATAAAACTGACAGATGTAATTCCAACACTATCAGAATCAGAATCACAGACACCCATGTCAGTTAAATTGTAATGTTTGTCCAAGCATACAATTTGGGCTAAGACTGGACGATGGACAAGAGCATCGTTTGACTGACAATGACAGAGTTTGAAGAGCACAAAAAGTCAGACCCTTATTGCTGCATTATGTTGGGCTGGAGACATGGAATCAAACTAATTCAACCTCCAGTAATTCAGAAATGTCTCCTGCAAATTTAAATATTTGATTTAACTGAAGCTCAGCTCCTCAAGCTTTTTTTTCTTGAAGTGCCTTAAACATTTGTTGTACCATCAGAGATGATGCCACTGGCAGGACAAAAGGAATCTGATTTCTGTGTCAAGTAATGAAATTCCCAACCTTAGTGCTTATAAAAAGAAGCTCTTCTGTAAGAGGCGGTCATTGTAGCTCTGATGATCATCCAAAACTGCATTTAGTTCGTTTACAAGTCAGGAAATGACATGTCAATGTACAGGAAACTTCACTTCCCTTAAAATGTCAAATGTCTTTAAGGGTAATGAAAATTTAAGGCGACACTAATGCTCAACTGTGTGTGTGTTTTAAGTGTAATGGCAGACCTGTATCTGTCAGCACAAAGAACTTTATTTGTTAGGACTCCTGAAAATCAATGATCAACATTTAATGCACACATTAATGAAGAACAGGGCAGTGAAATGGGATGCTTATACTAGAACAGCTGCCTCTGCTGTGGCTTTCTCCATTTTCTCCTGTGATTTGAAATTAAACAAAGACCCCCCTCCTCTTTTTTGGCTTTAGCAAAAGAAAATATTTTGTGTAGAAACAAGTGCTGTGTGCATCTGTCTTTTCTTTTTTTTAACCCTTCAAATGTCATCTACAAATGTTAAGGCAATAAAACAAAAGAAACCCAAACACAACTTGAGTTGAAAGGATTTAAGTTATAGCAATACGCACACTATCAAGTGTACAATTTGTCAAGGTTCATTTGATTCTAATAAAATACTTACTTTTTTTTTTTAAAACCCATATACATTTCATATATTTATCTTTTTTGGGGTATAGGGATCCAAAAATAGACATTTAAATCATAAAGAGAATGGGAGGAAAGAGGAAGGGAGAAAAAAAACCCTACAAAAGCTACGAATGGTGGTCCTCTCTCCCTGAGAAGAAGGATGGAACAGAGGAGAGAGTGGGAAAAAAATCAGAGAGAGCAAGGGGAGGTGGTGGGGGGAGAGGGAAGGAGTTAGGAGGGGATTGGCCAAGCTATACAGCGCAGTATGACACCCACTTTAGCTCATTACACACGTACAGTCGTGATCAAGGCACAGGGATCTTCTAAAAGTTTTTTTTTTTCAATAAAGTTGTACAAAATAATACATTTTACAGTCTGTACAAGAATAATAGATCAGCAGCAAAGAAAAGACAGACAAATGAAGGAGCAGGAGGCTGAGAGAGGAAGGTATAGAGTGATAGAAAAATGACTGTGAGAGAGGGAAATGGCAGGGAGGGGCTGTTTGACCATGTGAGTAAAAAACAAAAACATTAGTGTCCCAGTTGATGTTGTTATGATCTAGTTTTTATATTTTAACATTATTATATTCTCTCTCTAAACAAAGAGCATTGCCAGAAGGTTGAGAACAGAGATGACAAGAAGGTGGAAGGAGCAGTAAGAGAAGAAATGGGAAAAGAGAGAGTGAAGTTTTCAAAAGAGAAAGAGCAGAGGTTGGAGCAAGGAGAGAAGCATGGACAGAAAGTGTAAAGATAAAGAAAGCGCACAGGGCACCATGGCACAAAAGTTTACACCGACAGAAGAAGCTGTGGAGACATACCAACAGGGTCAGTCAGGACGAGATGAGAGTTCTCTTTAAATTATATGGTACTGTACTGTAGAAGGATGCTTTTTGCCTTCCGTTTGTTAAGTTCCATAAAAGATGGCATTTTTCATGTTTTTTTTTTGTTTCGTTTAAAACTTAATAAATCCTCCTCGTGTATTTGCGCCACTTCAAACAAAGGCAAAGTCACTTCATTGCTGCCAAACGTGTCCAGGCTCCATTAGAGAGATTGACATCACAGTCAGCTCTGGCCGGTTCCTGCATAAGCTCACGCCTCCTCCAGTCTGATTGATCACAGCACACCGCTGTTCCATATATAGCATGTGGAAACGCTGCTCTTCACTTGCCTGTGCACATAAGTCTGTTTAATCTCACGCTGTAAAAAAAAAAAAAATCTGCCTGACAGTTGAGAGATCAGTTCATTTTGGATTTTGACCGCATTTGTGCATTCCAAGAAAAAAAGCGATTGTGTTAGGTTTGTGTCTGCAAGCTGATCATGATGTGAGTGAGAGAAAAGGTTGGTTTACAACACGCTTTGAGCAAAGTCTTGAGCACAGTGCTTGTTTTCATTAGATACAGTGTTCAGCTGATCTCTTGTGATGATGTGTCAATTTTCTATTTGCAGTATTTTAACACTTGTCTTTTTCCGTTCTGCACTCAAGTAGAAGCTCTCTCAATTTTTATGGCAACTTGAAGTACATTCTCAACTGCAGCTCAGTGCCTCCTCACTGCAGGGGATACAATCCAAACTGGTCTGGGCTCAGCCACTTTTGGAAAGCTGAAGGTTGAGGGGTTGATACATGATGTGAAGTTAAGAGCTGGGCGTATGGCTGAAGATGTAGAAATCCAAGTTCCCTTTATGTGTTTGCACCGTAAACCCTTCCATTAAAACAGCCCTTTCTAATGCAGGGAGGGTGGTTTGCATTACAGGAAGTCCTGGTTTCTGGGTGCGTTTGTGTATAGAGTGCGTTTGTGTGTGTGTGTTATTCGGCTCCTGTTCCTTTACAGGAGCTCACACACTTCTGTGGAAGAGGACAGTTTAGAGACTTAGGGTTTCTCATAGTCTGATCTGTGTGACTGAACACAATTTTTTCTCCAATCACAACAGCTCATACTGCCGCAGGTGCATCCTCTGGATGATGTCTCGACAGTCGTTGAAGACGCGGCGGATGTTTTCCGTGTCAACAGCACAGGTGAAGTGAGGGTAACAGTAGTGTCTACCGTCTCCACTTGCTGTGCTGATCCTCTGGAAGATGGAAAACAAGTTCACTGTAAATGTTACAGCCTGACAAATGTCTTACATTTTTTTAATACTTTAATTACTATTAAAGTACTATTTAAAAAATAATATTTTAACTCCCCATTTCTATCTCTTTTTATTTTAAAGATGCTCATAAACATGTCTATTCACTTACAAGGAACTCATCTCTGATGAAGTACTTTGCCCTTGTGACACGAGGATCTTCTCCAGGCTCAGGTGTTGCTAAAAGATAGGAAAGAGGCAAAATAAACAAATGTCTGCTGACATGACTGATTCAAAGCTGTCAGGTGGAGGCCAATAAGACATCAATTAATGAATATTATAAAGCAAATTCATTGTTTTCAATGCCATTATATTCATATGTCGCCAATGAAAACCTGATACAGGCGTATTAACGATGACCTCTTGTGGTCATAACCACTAAATGCACTTGTCTTTAACAGATTTGGAATGGATAGCGTTCAAGAAAAAACACCACAATTAAAGGATATAAACACTCTATTTAAAGTTTACCTAAGAAAGAGCATGGATGTTTATGCAGCTTTAGGAAACATTGATGATAAGGGGAAAGAAAAAAGAACTATTTTTGGCACAACACTAGGATATCACAGTTTTCCGTGTCTTCAAATAGGACTGTTTAGGAGTTCTGTACACACAATTTCACAAACAATGATTAGATTATTTCCTAAAATAAATGAATTGTTTTAGATGATGAAGATTTAGTAAAAAAAAAAGAGTTTTGTTGTGTGGGAGGAGGGGGGGGGGGGGGGGGGGGGGGTAAATACAGAGGCTGTTTTTGTACAGATAACGCCATGGACAACTAAAGAAAAGTTGTTGATGAAATTCATATCGCTTTGTATAAATAAATGGAAACAGGATCTGCAGATGAAAGCCCAACAAGTGGAAGAACAACTGCTCACCATCATCAGGTGTAGTGTAGCGTGCAAATTCAGGGAAGTATTCCTCAATTTTGGACTTCCCCGCCAGCACCTTCTCTGCCAGCAGGTCCTGTTTATTCAGGAACAGGATGACAGAAATGGTCCGCAGCCACCTGAGAGGAACAGAGACGACAAATGAGAAGGAGAGATGGGGGCTGGGGGGAGGGCAGTGTTTGAGAGTAATTACAACATCCAAATGTTATGGAGAGATATTTAAATCCCTCCTTTTCTGTTGTGAAGCTAAGCTTTACTTATATAATAAGTAAATATAACGATCACATTTTCTGGACAATGAAATAACGAATGAACAAATGAAAAGAGAAGTGAATTTTAACCACCTGTCTACAGTGATGTAAGATTCACTGCCAGAGATCTAAGTAATTTGTCACCTTTCTATAACTTTTTCTTTGCTTATGCACCACTGGAACTTGTAAACAGAGTATGTGATCTATCCTTGATTGTTGTTATGCTATGTTTGTTGCTAAGGAACATCCACACTCAGTTATGTAATCATTCCAGAGAAAAACCAGACAAGATAATAAAAACTTTAGCAGCCCTGACACAAACACTTTCTGTGTGTAGCTATAAAAAAAGATGTTTGGAGAAGGCTGTCAGATTTTGTGTCTTAATTTTTTTTTTAATCTTGGAAAAAGTGGAATCTATGTGCAAACAATCATCATTGCGTTTCTGCTTCACGTGTCTCTGAAGCCTCGTTTCCACTTCACCTGTTGTTCCAGATGTTCTTGAAGAGGTTGAGTGCCTCCTGTAATCTGTTGGTCTGATTGTCCTCTCTGATCACCATGTTGTAACTGCTACTTGCCACTACGAAGATAATGGCCGTTACATCTGAGGAAAGAAGATATATTTAGACTTACAGAGGTTATTATGCTACAGACGCAGAGAACAGTAAACTGAAAAAGAGCGATAAATTATTATGAAGTTACCATTAAAGCACTGAATCCACTTCCTGCGTTCGTCTCTTTGGCCCCCGACATCAAACATACTGTGGCAAACAAACAAGAATTAATATTAGGTCTAAACATACAAATTCGATTCTTCTACCCGAGTCATTGGATTTGCTACAGAATGAAGCTAGAAAATCATTATATTAAACATTAAATATATTTGCTGTTTTACTTACTGAAAATTAACTTTGTCCACTTGGAATCTTGTCTCGAAGATTCCAGAGGTCAGAACTCTGCAACGCAGCAAATCCTGGAGGTGATTTGAACAAGTTCACTGATAAGATCATAAAGACACTTCACTACAAAATCTGAGACTTAAATAATACAGTTCAGCTACAGAACATTTGTGTCTTGGTTGATGTTTTTTTTTAAATCATGGACCAAAAAAACAAAACAATGCCACAACAAACTGCAGGATTCACAAGATGATTTTATTCCTATTTGTAGAACATAACTAAAAAAGAAGCATCAAGTACAATGACTTGGACAAAAGCATTACATTTAAATTTAAATAAACCTAAAATTTTGTTTAATTTGTGTTTTTACCCTTTGAGTTTATTTTTCACCATTAAACACTTTTAATAACAAACAGAGTCTGCTCCTGGAAAGATCCTTCTGGATTTCAACTGCCACTAAAGAGAATGTTTGATAAGGAAAGTGTATAAACTTCTCTGTGCCTACCTGGTCTGTTGGCGTGTAGTCATTCTGTTTTACAATGTCAATCTTGTCTAGGAAGCTGAGAGGAAGAGAGAAAGAAAAGAAATACAATGTTGTTAATGACAGTGACTTCACATCATCACAGTTTTCCACTGAAGAGTTCAAGTCCAAAGTATTTTGCAGACTGAGTATTAGAAATCCACCTGTGAGAGACATGTATGGTTAATTAAAGCGAGACACACGTGAGGGGCCACGACTGTTCTCCGCCCTCACGCAGATGAACTCGCCAAGTATTCTCAACATTGTATTTTGTAGGGCTGTCAATAGATAAGTGATTTTTAATCAGATTAATCAGAGGATAGCTCATTAATGCATTACAAAATACTAAGAGGGGACACCACAAGTTTGAGCAAAGGACTCATGTTTGATGGTTTACTCCTCAGACACAATCACATATTAAACCACATGGAAACACGACAGCTAACATTGTGAGGCCACAAAGATCTGTGTTCTATTGGGAAATTGGTCAAAGCAGAGATGGTGAGAGCAGAAACCCATGTGCAAAGGAAGTGCACGTGCAGAAACAAGAATGTAAATGGACAGTAAGAGAGACAGAGGAAGAGAGAGAGGGGGGGGGGGGGCAGAGAGAGAGTGAGGGAGACAGTGAGTCTGTCTAACATTACAGAGCACATTTTAAAAATAGCTCCCTATCCCTGGCCCACAGTACAGTTACCATGGAGACCAAACCACAGGAGCTATTAATAGTCTATCAGCTCCCAATCTGGTACCAGTGGAGTTGAACTAGAGAGGAGACAGACAGACAGAATAGGAGGAGGAGGAAGGAGAGAAGGAGCAGGATGAGTTTGTGTATTTGAGATGGATGTGTAAGCAAAGAGGAGGGAGGGAGCAAGGCATTGGACCGTACCATCTCAATCACCTGAGGGGGACAAGGAGCAGGGAAATGTTTCTGGACGTCAACTTTAGGGGTTGGAACTTATATCAAGTGCTGGAATCGGTATGCTACAGTCATCTCCAAAATATATTTACTGGTAACTAAAATGATGCAGTTGTGAGCAGCCCTCAGGTAACAACCAACTGTCTTTTAACCTCCTGCCTTCAAACTTCTACTGATCTGCAGATGACTCAGCCACAGCCATGTTTGCTCCCGTACTGCTACTGTTGCATGAAAACTATGTGATCGAGTCCTGCTAAAAATGAGACCCTAACAATGAGACACTGAACACAGCAGACTTGTAATTTCATAAAAATTAAAAAACACTGTTCTGCCCTGACAACAAATAAAACATCATCACCCACTAGACGACTAACAAAAAATAACATCTATGATGTTCCCTGATTTAGTTAGCGATACTTATTTATATAAAATATTAATGCACCAAAATAAACACAAAATACCCAAAAAGGGGACATGAACTCAATGGAATAAGCATAAAAAATGTCTTTCCTGCTTCATAATCCTGCAGTGGAAGACGGCTTAGGTACTTACTACTGTGCACAGTCGATTAATTGATATTCGTTAGATCTCTCATAGCATGCTCTGACGCCTTCATCCTGCCACAGTGTCTTTGCATGGTCATAAAATTCCTGCAGAGGGATAGGTAGAGAAAAAACAAGTTAAATGAGAAGCTGAAATTCAAGTCACTGTTCATTATAATCATGTAAAATACTAAACGAGACATTGACAGAACAAAAGTTTTGCTTTTTTGTTCAGTTTTGTGGCACACTGAGGCATTTGCATTTTAACCATCTATGATAGAGCTCGACTGTCTTGTCTACAGTGCATGTCTGAGGACACAGGGAACTCTGAGCTTTTGTTGACACACCAAGTGGTGTGTACGTTGTGCCGAGGCCATGGTCTGTATATGTCCACGAAGCTAAATAGTGGTGGGTTAAAAGACTCACAACATAGTATAGACAGGTCTGCTGTCACTGCCTGTACTGAATACTACTGTCCGGTGTATTCCACTTTCTCTGATTCAACTACACAGGTGAATAGTATATGTATGTTTACAAGTTAAAATGTGGATTAGAACAGTGGTCCCCAGCACCCGGGCTGACACCAGTCCGTGGGTCAGTTGGTACCGGGGTGCACAAAAAGAATGCAAAACTTACATTATTTCTGATTTATTTATTATCTGATTCTGAAAAATGTTTTATTTTAAAAAATGACCAGATTTTCTCCGTCTATCTTTGACTCACACTTGATGCATGTCAAAATGCTCGCTCGCATGTCTTACCTACACTACGTTTGTAAAATACTGAATGTCTCACAATTACTTCGTCCCACTGTGCTGCTAAAACACTGACAGTGGTTAACAATCAGAATTTACTGATTTCCATGACAGACTTGATTTAGGCACAGCTGCCCAATAAAATTGATCAACTATCATCGGTAACTTGATTATAATCCCATAAGTCTGAATTTAACTGTGAATGTAAGCACTGTTTGAATCTGTGTTTAAAAAGGTACATATCTGTGGTCTAGTCCTACTTGATGAGAGCTTGAACGGCATGATTGAATTTTGGGGGAAAAAAAAAAACAAACAAAAATAAAACCCAAAACAAAAACCTTAAAAACATGTGGTACTAAACATATTTGATTTAATGAGATGACAGGTGGTTGGAATTGAAGAAAATAAAAACCTCTCTCATCCTCTCAGTGAAATGCTTCCTTTTCTTCTTTTATGTTCTGTATGAGCCTCTCTTTGTTCTTTCCTCCAGTAAAGGTCAATTTACAACAGTCAACCCATGAACCCAGCAGCCATGCCAGCCTCAATTCCCAAACATGTTCACATTAGAGGGTCGGAGAGCAGGATGAGTAACAAGTGTGTTGCTCATGGGCACTTCAATCGGGCTGATTATTGGTACAATAACTGACCTTCATTGCTGAATGTCATCATGTATGAGCATATAAAGAAGAAATGAGAGTCATTGGAGCTGCCCAGCATCCCACCATAATCACAATCATACCAAAAAACCCAAGCATCTGCACCAATTAACACTAATTAAATCATATAACACAGTAATTAGCAATCAGAGAGCTAGAAATATGAACTCTTTGACTTCAGGTTATAAAATGATTTAACTGCCAAACCAGCAGATGGAGCTACAACTTTGTGTGCATTTAATCACATTTGACCAATATGCTGTTTAGTAAGGTAATAAAAATAAAATGAACTAGAATCTGTGAATTGCAAAGACATGTTATTTCTTTTTTTACACAAAAGAACTGACTTCACTATGTTTGTCTTAATTAGCTGAGGAACCGGCAGACTCTTAATAACGACACACTCACAATCAATTTGATTTGTGATGATCTGTTGCTTCTATTCCAATGTTAGTGTGTGTCAGCACTAAGCCAGATGAGCTGAGTCCCACAGGAGTCTGAGGATAAATAGTTACACTTCAGGGTATTGCCTCTTGGCCTTGACTGTTAGCTAATTGGAATGATCTTAGGAGACTAGTGGAACCTTCAGAGACATCAACATTAAATTAGGACATTAGTTAAGCTCAGGGTTATTTGCATGAGTCAAGGGATTTACACCTGGGATATTGGGACAATTAACGGCTATCATCTGAAACACTGGCACCTGGGGACACGTCTACCTGTTCTCAGTGTATTGTCCAAACCACTGTACGTAGTGAGAACAACTAGTGTAAAAGTCTAGACTGACAGAATTAACCTGGACGGCATTCGTACTAATAATGGTAAATACATTAAAGCTGATGTGGTTGAAAACCAGAAAAAAAAAACATCCAGTCCAGAATCGCAGTAGGAAAACACCTTCAAAACCCACCAGATTCTTATTTTCTGCTTCAAGGCAAAGTTTGAAAGTACATTTACCATCCTCAAACGCAGTCTACATCTATAGACACAAAAAGCATTGTATACATATTGCAGTACTCACAGATGGAAATTCAAAGTCCTTCTGGTTGACGAGGTTGAGGATGTATTCAATCCTGTACTGATTCTCTGGAGAGGCCAACTGCACTGGTGGTGTCAAGTTGCTCATCGCTGTTACTATGGTCTGTCACAAACAAGTCCAGAAACAGTGGATCACACACAGTTTCTTCTTATAGAATAATACACTTTCTACTGTTTTGGAATTGCACTCATCACATCATTTATCTTCTATTCATTTTAATCTCACACACAAAATACTGCATGTTTGGGACATCAGTAGTTACCTACCTCAATGGCTTCCTTGATATTATTCTTGATGTCGTGAATTTTCTGCTTCTTCTCTCTAAAACATATAAGGGTAGAAATTACAATCCTGACTGGTGTTTCTGTTGGGCAGCAGTCACAAAACGCAGCTATAACAAAGATGGGAAATGTGAATTGAGCGTGCAGTCCAAGATATTTTGTGGACAATATGATTTTGTTGTGATGTACAGTCAGGGCAGGTCTGAGCCACATGATGCTCTTTAGCTTTTTTGCAATGTTTCTGTGCATTGGATTAAATGTACTTTGTCTAAGAAAAAGAGGGATGTAGATTAAAAAAATTATTTAAAAAAAAAATCAATCTTTTACCAAATTTCATCTTGCCTGCTAACAGTAAAAGAACACTTAACACAAAATCAAAAGATGTTAGAAAGTATGTCCCATGTTAGCACGACATGGTCCACAGCAGTTTGCTGCATCAAGTATGTTTTTTTTTTTATTTAGGAACTGCAAAAAGACCTTCATTGGTACATGTGGTAGAAAAATTATGTCTGTCTGCTGTGAAGGATAGCTGTTTGTACAAGACGTTTGGACTCTGTGTGACAGAAATGTTTCTAATAAAGGCAACCAGAAGACCAGTTAGTCTATCTTTCACCTTGAGTCTGCCAGGACAGAGTATTGTGTTTACAATAGTTCTATGTCAGTGCTAGAGAAAGGGCGAGATGGGCCTCTTCACTACATGCCACGTTTTCTTATTTCCAGGCTACAGCTTCGTTCAAACTAAATGGAAAATCATGGAAGATCAGAAAGTAAGTGATGGATAACAATATCTTTGTAGTTATTTTATATACCGTAACAACATTAGGGGGAAGCTTAGTTGGTATTTTTAAACTTTTAGAAGCTTTGACAATATTTACAGCCACAGGCAAAAGAGCGTTGTTGTTTTTTCACATAAAATACAGTCTGCTCTATTGCACTCCTCATATTTCAACTCTGTCAACTTTCTCTTCATTGCTGAAGAAAATTTTTATGTTTCACAGGCCTTAACCTTTGTTTACGTATTTAGAAATACCCACAAGATGGCAGTAATGTAAGAATGGATGCTGGGTGAGAAGCAAATGTTTTACTTTCTCCTGTGAATACCACTGAGACCTGGTATCAGATTTGGTTTGTATTCAAATATCATTCTTAATTTCTTAACTCTGGGCAGACTGTTTACCAGTGGAGCTGTTTTGTGTCATCAAACATGTTCTATTTATTCTCCATTTTTGGTATAAACAATGTAACTTCAAAGGCAATTGGGAAATGCTGACATGATAATGTTACTAAAAACAGGCCGACAGTGTAAATATTACGTTCTATTTCACCAGGATATTAGTGATAAATACATGAAGACTTTAACAAACTTTGTATGACACAAATTTTCACAGTACCTGGAGTCACAACGTCAGAGTGGAAAAATCATGAGTGATGGTGAGAAAAAAGGGAGTGAGACAGAGTTTATTGGGTCAGGAGGGAGTTTGACAAGGCCTTGTTTACATTTTCAACCTGACAGTCATTAACAATCACATGGCTGCATGTGTGCACATATTTTTCCAAATTTGAGAGTGTGACTGCATGCCTGTTCAAGACAGGATGGGGAAATGAGGAGACAGCAGATAGCTAACAGAGGTGGACGGAACTGTGAAGAAGAAATAGTATGTTTAATTAAAGATGAAGAAGATTAATTTCACTTTTTAAAACCCAACCATAACCCCAGCAATCCTTGTTCCTGAGCAATCACAAAGAAGGTATTTTTAAGTTTAGTTTAGTTTTTGGCTTTGCAGTAATGTGTCAATTTTCACAGTTATTTTTCTTCATATTTTACTAGTGTTTCAAACCAGCAGCACATACTATATATATTTTTTAACTCTTTGTTCTCAAACCTTTAATCTGCAGACTGATCTATTTTTTAATCAAACTTAAATCACAACAACAGATCCTCACCAGAATATGGTAGAACAAATAACAAACTACATAAAACGTTTAACCTGGCCCCACAGTGAGAGGCCATGGGAATGACCTGCCTCCCTAACTCATTAAGTTGCTCCAAAGACATTTACCCAACATGCCATGATGATATGAATGTTTGATCCTTTAGCTCATGCACGACTGACAAAACCCGTATAAATTAATTATGGAGAGTTGATTCACCATGCCCCTTCCAACAACTGTCCCAGTTAAGTTCCACTGATCTTTTAGAAACTGGGAGATTTTCCCTGAGAGCATTACAGTCTGAGCTACGGTTTCTGACAAACAATGATTCGGCTGTTGAGCAATGAAGAACTCCACTATAAAGAGACACCACGTTGATTTCTAAGGGCAGCTCGTCGGCTCATTGTCAGGTCATGGTAGTTAAACCCATAAAGGAGGTGAGTCAGTTATTACTTCCTTTTCCTAATCAGCCCAGCAAATGGAACCAGTCTTCCAGTCAAAAGCCAGTAGTTTTGACCTTTGGGTTACCGTCAACCAAGAAATTACTGACAACAAGGTTAAACTCGACACTTCCAGCACAACAAGTCAGTAACTTTACCTGCAACTGTAACTGAGCCTGGAAATTTTATTTGACATTTGATAGCACAAAGCTATCAGCTAATCGTTGATAGTTCTAATCAGTTGCAATTTTGTAAACGCTCTCCTTCTGTCTTGTTGGTTTGGTTAAATGGAAAAACAAACCAAACCAAATTTGTCAACACCAAGTTTAACATACCAAATGAGCGTAGAAGACGATTCATTAGTCTGTAATTATCTCCAAAGGTAGCCCCATGACATGATCACACAAAGAATCACACACAGTTTTCACTGCTGTGGAGTCACAAGCTGTGTCATACGCTCTAATCGGCCTGAGGTGTGGATTTTTCTCTTCTAACCCTGTAGGGATACTTCATCCTCACCACAGCCACCACACCAACAAGTACAAGTCACTGACACACATGCATGACAAAAACATCACAGAAAATGTCAAAAGTACTATAGACCTGTTGCCAGTATTTCAAATCTGCTATGTACTATATTTCCATGTACATGTTAATGTTTAACACAGTACAATGCTGTATAATTTGTTGATATAATTATTAAATTATATTGACTGATCGAGACAATTTAAGTCAAAAGACTTCATTTAAAGTTGGCAGTCAAAGCTAACACTGCACTACATTCAGTTGGCAGAGGCGGTTCTGACCAAAGCAGCCAAACGTGTTACGTCCATCTGTACTGTAACCTGCATGAACTGCCTAAGTTGATATTATAGGTGTACACCACTTCAGGACCATCTAATACAATTAATATTTTGTTTATAATTAATGTCCAATCAAAATTCCCTATCACTGTGATCAGGTAATTGTTTTTGCACAAAACAAAAAAAAATGGTGAGAGCTTTCACAAGCAATGAATAACACATCAGACTCTGGGTCAAAAACAAATGCCTTACCAGTGGCTGGTTTGTTTCGGTTCTCGCTCCACTTTTATTTAATCTTACAATTTAGAGGTGGACCAGTTGATTAACTGTTTAATAAAGCTGAAGCAGTTTCCTGCTATCTCAGACTTGGAGTTCACGTCAGCCTTTTTTATCACTCAGATAAACTTTAAGGCACCAAATTAGGCATTAGTGTTTTTAGTAAGAATAACTAATTGGAAAATCACTTTCTTCAATCATGTAAAAGAAAATGACCAGCTGGCTTCCAGTACTGTTCAGACAGACACGATGACCCTATTATTCTTGTTTTAGTGAAACACAGCTGATTTATTCTGGACAGAAGTCAAAGATGATTCATTTGGCAAAACTTCTTAAAATCATACTTTGACTTTTACTACTTATCTTGGTGCACTTGGAGTAATGTTTATATTTTGACCAAGTCAGACTTACTCTGCGTTGAAGCCATCAACATGTAGGATCTTCATCTGTTTTACTATGGTGCTCTTTCCTGACTCTCCAGCTCCTGAAAGATGGGGAGAAAAAAAACACATGGATCTGGTGACCACTAAAACATGACGACATCATTGTTAATTTAAATTTAAAAAGTCATTAAATATTGTTTAAACACAACAATTATTTAAAATTAAATTAAAATATCACACAAAATATTTATATTAAAATCTAAAATATTTAAGCTTTTATATTTGACCAACACATGCTGTAACTAATGGTTCAACGAGGTGATGTGGAAAACTCCAATCTTTAAAAAAACTCAATGTTATGATGTTTAATTAACTGTCTCCCATGTCCGACGAATGGTGGCATTCTAAAGAAAAGGTTTTTCATTTTGATATACCAGAAAGCTCCAGATTATTCCAAGAACTCATCGCACTGTTCTCCCAAGTAACTGTTGACTTCAGACAATTAAGCTGGACATTAACAAATGTCCTCACTTGTTTATTTATTGTTATTAAAATAATTATTGACCATCCTGAACCAACGTCAACTTAAACTATGGCACCTGCATCAGATCAAACTCATTATTGTTTTGGAAATTAAATTATTTACTAGTACTAGTAAATAATTTAAAGTACTAGATAAAATATTTCCCAGTGCTTAACCAGATCCTTCTTCTTTGAGTTTGACAAGCACCTTGCAGGGTTTATGTTGTGCTTCACTGCCACCCACAGGACCTTCTTTTAACCAGTTACAATTTGTTTTAATAAAGTACATCCCTCCACACTTTTCTCTGTTCCACTCATGCCTAAATACCCATGACCCGTGAGTAACAGCCTGGAGTCGCAAACAGGGCTTTAAATGAAAGCTAATTTTATGGAGACATCTTTGTTTCAACATCTATGTAGGTCCCATCCTTCTGTTTTCCTAGTCACCATTACTTCCTCCTCAACACAACACCGTCCGACATTACACATTCCGAGAGGTACCTTTGTAATCACATATTAGGATTTTTACAGAGAACACTACGACTTCTTGGAAGTGATAAGCCTGTGATTGGACACAGGAGGAGGGTACAGAAAGAAGCACAGCAAAGGAAAGTTAGACATTCTTATTTGTGTCCTCTGTAAGGTGGAGACCCAACCCACCTCCAGTTCACTGTCACAACCACATGTTGAGTTTTACACAATCATTTCTGCGTGAACTTTTATTTAACCTTTTCTTTAAAGCAGTTTTTCACCTGCTCACATAAAAACAAACTCTGAACCCTTGTAATTTTTGGCCCTGTATTAGTATTTTATATTTTTGTATTTTAGTAGTATTTTATATTTCACCTTCCTTTCATGCAGTTTTTGGTCTGCACACACACACAAAACCTCAGTGTAGCACTGGTGTGACATTAGCCATCTTCTAGTCTAATAGCCTATATGCACGATTGAGAATAAAGTCAGGACAAAACTGAACTATAACACAGATTTTAAACATTTTACAACGCTTTCTCCATCAACCAGTACTTCACTTGTCATGTCTCTACAATCAACCTGTGGACTGTAACGCTACTTCTTGTTTGGGGTTTGACAGCGGTAAACTGGAAAATCAAAAGCGACCTGCCTTGAAAACCCTGCACACGGCTGGATTTTCAGCCTTATGCAATGGCAAGTCACAGTGTTGACAATGTTTCCCAAAACAACGTCCCAGAAGGTTATGCAGAAAGGAAGCAGAGGCTAACTGTGCAGTCTGAGGCCTGTAAAACAGCGGCGGCAGCCGCAGCAGCAGCAGCAGCAGCAGCAGCAGCAGAACCTCATTGTAAGAGCAACAGAAAAAACATGTTAAACAGCAACAACAACATGGAAACTCACCTAAAAGTAGCAGTCTGTGTGTGGCTCTGTATATCTGTTTGTCTTTTTGGAGCTGCTTCTCTATCTTTTTGTTTGCTTCTCTTTGTGCCTTCTCCTCATTTCTCTGGTCTTCGGTCTTACTGTTGCCCAAACAACCCATCTTCCCGCAAAAAGGGAGAAAAAAGAGGGGATCCAGGGGAAAAGGAGGTGGTGGTAGTGGTGGAAGAAGAAAGAGAAGTAGTGGAGGTGAAGAGGAGGGGTATGCAGAAAGAAAAATAAATCAATCAGCTAAACTAGTCCGGATCTCTCCTTTTGACCCGAAGATTTCAGTAGCAATGTCAGCCACATTTAACACGCTTCCACTGCTGTGGCCTGCCCCAAAAAGCAGTCGCTGGTGCAGCGCAGCGGAGACTATGCGTCCATAACGCGTATTTTTGCTGTCAGAGAAAGGGCAGGATACTGTTGCTGACGACACCGAGGCCGCCTTCAGTCTGCTCAATCCTGCTCTGGCTTTTTCCCTCCTCCTTCACATGCACTCTGTGGAGTTTTGCTTCAGTTTGCCCCCAATGTCTTCACCCAACTACCGTTCGAAGTGTGACAGTTGTAGTCCACAAATGTCTTCTTAAAATCGACCTGTCCGAAAGAGAAAAACACGCAGGTTCTCTTCAATCAGCCCAATGTTGCATCTCCGAAAAAGCCCGGGTCTTGCGTCTCACTGCTGCCCGTGACAAGGAGCCCAACTCGGCGCGTCCGTAAGGCTCGCCCGTGCTGCGGCGCGGCTCTTTTCCACGTCTCCCTTCGTGACAAACATTTCCACGGGTGAACACTCAAAGCTTCTTCTGCTTTCCTTTTTCTTTTTTCTCCCTGACGCCTGCCTTGTCTTCGTCGGGGGAGGAGGCCTTAGCAGGGCAGAAGGAAGGGAAATAATATTTACACCCAGGCAAAGCTACATGTGAGAGATCCTCGCTGCTTCCGTCGCCATCCGGATCCTTTTCGCTCTTTGCGTCGAATCAAACCCCCACAACTCAAAACCCACTGCGGCCGTCTTCACCCACACGACTCACTTCA